TGCCCCACCCGAAGACAAGCAGCTCGTACACAAAGTGGCTCGTTATCGCCGTCTGGATGACCTCCAGCACGTAGAGCGAGTACACTTTTTGACTGAGATCAGCGATTGACAGCACGGCGTTAGTTGGACATATCCCGACCTAGCATCTTGATCCACAGTCGTTCATTCGGGAAGGAGACCGTGAATCGATCTGGGAAGGCCGCAGAATGAGGCAGCGAAAAGCACGGACAGCCTGCGACGCACACACTTGGAGCGTCAAAATACCCAAGAGCGCCCAATTCCCCTGGGTACCAGCCAACTGTGTCACAGCGGTGAGTAGCGCGCCACAGCGCGTAAGAGGATGTGCACACCATGGGGGCCGTGCTTTTAGATCCGGATGTAAGTTAAACAGCTCAAGCCAAGACGCGCGAGGAGAGAGGGACGCACAATAGCACGAACTGCGACGAGTTGACTGCGCCCGGTGGTGTCGACATCGCTGACTGACTTGAAGTATCCTGTAGTGGGAATCGGGATAAATACAATCGAGAGCAGCAATCGTTCCGTCGAGTTATAAGCGGGAAAAAGGAACGCGCGCTTCACATCTCGTACGCGTCCCAACTGTCCAGCACTCCCGCGGTACATCGTCCCATGCAACGATGGAAGTCATACACATGCACACACAGGTTCCGGAAGCCGTATTGGTCCCGAGGTCGGATTCACGGAAGTTGGCAGCTCACGCAAGGAATCCATCACAAGGTCGGTGATGCGCAACAATTCCTACCTTCGCAAAGGCAGAAGATGCGCGACATAAATTGAGCCTTACTGCACGCAACAAGTACAGCATGAGCGCCGTCCCAGAGTCCAATTGAGAGACAAAAGTGCTCGCCATTCGAGCTAGGTCGGGTTGCCTCGGCATTCAAAGCGAAGCTTCGGCGAGGGTCAGAGTCCAGAAGTGTTCCATTAGCCGAACATTTTCTAGAGAACCAGCGCCAGATGTGGCAAGTGCAGTGTTGCCGAAGGAAACCATCAGAAGACGAAGAGAGCGCCAGGCTATAGGCCAGGACTCGAACTAACCAACACGGCAAGTTCGTTTCGCGTGGGTATAAGTGACACCGTGCACGCAGGAAGAAATGTAGCTTTGTTTGCGAGATAGATGTCTGCGAGGGAATGTCAGGCGCATCTCGTAGCGCGTGGCCCTGCTTTCGAATCCAGTCCCGAGTCCATGGGGGCCCGGACTGGGGCAATTATCGTCGGTCTCGTCGGTCTCGTCGGTCGGATGAGACGAGTCCGCATTGGTCGCCGGCGGCCGCGGCCGTGACCGTAACTGAGGCACTGATGCCGTCAAACGTACACGTATACACACACCCGTGTGATTGATTCTTTGCTTGTCGCTACTTTCTTCCAGCGCCCATCTCTTCCTTGTGAGTACGATTCCAATCGGCCTTCTCTGATGTTTCACTGTAATTTGCGTTCGATTTGCTTGCCCTGTCCCAAAATACTGCTCGCCAGCGGTCCTGGGGCAAGCATTATGAGACACTTACTCTTTCTGATTTTTCGCTCACTTTTCCATCTTCCTCGACACGCCTGGGACTTCGTGACTAAGCATCTTCTCAGGTCTCCCCCATCTCTCTCAGAAAGACGTGAGGTCTTCTATATCCACTGTATAATACCATCTGTCTGAGCTCTGTATCTACACTAGAATTTTGTTTTTATCCCGGCCTCCATGCCTTCCGATGATGGTACTGCCGCAGCTTCTGGCTTGCTCGCAACCCCGATGGCTGTAGACGACAACAACCTAGCCACCTCTTCCTCCACCTCTGCATCTGACCCCGTCCCCATCCCTTCCGTCCCATCCTCATCCGATGCACCCGCCGTCCCCGACTTCAAAGTTTACAAGCCCTCATCATCCAACGCGCCTCCCCTCCGTGAGAAGCGTAATCCATCTGCCAGCTAAGCGCGCCCTGAAACGACCCACAGCCGTTCTCCCTGATGAGTACTTTACACCCACCGCCGCGGATCTGCAATCCGCCCAGGCTACGCTGTCATCTCGCACGCAAGCGCTCAACGACGCACCGCTGCAGTTCCGGGCCGAGCGGGAGGCGGCGGCGAAAGCGAAGCGAGAGCGGTGGCCCTCGGTGAGCTTCTACAATCGTTACCGCGTGCTCGTGTCTCGATGCTGAGCGCTCCGCTGTGCATCGGCAGACGACGATCCGGATCCGGTTCACCGACCGCACGCAGCTCGAGAAGGTGTTCCCCTCCAGCAGCAAGATACGCGCTGTCTACGCCTTTGTGCGCGGATCCCTCCGCGAGGACGTCAAGCCGGTCAAATTCGTGCTATGTACGGTACGCTCTCTGTTCCCCAAAAGCGGGTGTTTCTGACGCGCTGTGCGCTGCAGACCAGCCCCCGAAACGCGATCTCAAGGTTTCCGATGCGAAGGTCCGCGATCTGACGCTGGCCGACCTCCAGCTCGCGCCGGCGTCCGTGCTCCTTCTGCGATTCGAGGATGCAGATCACGAGTCGGAGGCTCGGGCATTGAATGGTGCGCTACTATTCACATGCACGACACCAACTGTATGAGACTCAAGCGAACGATTAGGTATATCGGTTGCGGCACCTCTGGTACCCGAAATCATGCAACATGCCATCGACCTGCCCGCTCCCCCGCCAGCCGAAGCCAGCACCACCAACACCACTTCAGCCAACCTCGCGGCCTCCGCATCCAAGGCAGCGGCGAGCATCGAGAAGAAGATACCCAAGTGGCTCAAGATGGGCAGTACGTCGTCTCCCACTTGCTTGGTTGCAGTCCCAGCAGCTCAATGTACCCCCAGAGAAGTAACGCCCCGTAATATATCATGCAAAGTGGACACCGATGTCATGGAAGGCGGCCAGCAGTCTGGGGAAATTTAGTACGAGATCGCGAGGACCATTGATACAACACACTTGAGCAGATCGTCGATGTCCATCTTGGCCGCTCGTTTGTCGGTATAGCCCGACTCCGTGAGAGTATTCTCTATCCTTGTCTTCATATTCACATCGTCCTCGACCATCTGAAGATGCCGTAAGGTCGGTAAGAAAACAACTTTGAGTGAGGACCCGCCTTGTCGGTCTCAGCGCACCACGTCCGCCAGTTCTTCTCCAGCATCTCGATCACGCCCTTCGCCATGAAGTTGCCGTGGACAGTCTTATTCCGCCGACTGAAGATGATGCGATTGAGCCCGTCAAACTCCTCGAACTTGACCGGGGGCGGCGGATCGCGCAGCGCAACACGCACCACGCTGCTCTCGACCTTGGGCGCCGGCCGGAAGTTGTTTTTGCCGACGTTCATGATGTGGTCGACTAGGAGGATGAGGGCGTGGTTGTGCGCGGCCGGAGGATCTACGTACCTTTGGCGTACATCTGCACATTCGCGGATAGTCGTGACCACAGGTCAGACCCCGGCTGCGCGACCAGTCGGAGCGCAAACTCGCGCTGGAACATGAGGATGCAGACGCGGGGCAACGGCCGATGTGACAGTAGTCGGAATATCAACGGCGAGGAGATCTGGTACGGCGTGTTGGATATGCAGATGTCGAAATACGGCCAGTCCGCTTTGACTGCGTCTCCGATGATGATCTCGAGCTTGCGCTGCTCCGGCCTGATATCGATTAGACCCTGGCTTTAGGTGCACGATTAAGTTCAGGACGCACTTTCCCTGCACTCGTTTCGTCAATTCGGCCGCCATGCGTGGATCGAATTCGACGGCGGTCACTGGCACCGGGATTATTCTGGTTTCGGAGAGAGCGGAATTGCACAACACACCGTGCTTTGCCTGTTCCAGGATCCTCATGGTCAGATTACCCGTCCCAGGTCCAACTTCGAGGACTCGGTCGGTCGGCTTGATCCCAGCCTTGTCCACAATCCTTAATTATGAGGTCATTGTCGATCCTCCAAGTGCACCAGACATGACGGAGAGCACGGACCCTTGTGCTACGAGCGGATTTTTGAGAATGTGTTGGCCAAATTGCTCCGTCTTGAAGATCGGGTTGCGGGCGGCTGAGGAAGACGATCCCGCATCTTTGGAAGATGATGACGAGGCTTTTGCGGATGGCTGGTGCGCGCGGTGGAACTTGTCGGTCGTCGCTCGAGGCATGGGTGAAAAAGTTACAAGATGTCAAATCCGTGGCAGTGCCTGTCATCGAGGATTGACAGCCCAGCGTGTGGCTCGGCTTGGCTCCTCCGAATCGTAGCTTGTCAATATGTACCAACTGTTCTTCCGCTTGTCTCCATCTCACCTTCTCCCCCTTCACGAGTCCACCCATGTCTGCTGCGCCAAACCCCGAGGCCGGTCTACCTCTCAACTCGGATGTTGACGCGGAAACGGTCGCCACGAAAACGTCGCGACGCACATTATGGGAGCATCTCGACACGGAAGTCGATCCGTCGCAGGCCACGGGCCCACTAGCCGCATTCTGCTTCATGACTGGATATATGCAAGTCTATCCGACGCCATTCCTTGCAGAGTCCGTGAATGACCACTCTACGTCGGCAGCGATGCGATCTCGTTCACGGCAGTCTTCGTCTGGTGCGGGTTTCAAACCGGCAACTTTGCCCAGGTGAGATGGAGTCCTGCGTATCTGCGAAAACGGCCGCGCGAGTTGCATGCGGCCAGCAGCTTCCCAAAGTGTGATAGCACATTGGACCGGCTTGCACTTATCTCGTCTTCCTGATGTTCCTTTCTCATGACACCTAATCCGATGCAGCTTGCTCTCGCCTTGGCACGACTATGGGAGACGGCGCCCTCCGGATCGGGGCATGATACCAGCTTCCACATTGCAGACCGACAAGCTCTGACGTCCCTGCTTGCTTTCAACGCCGGCGCATTCTTCGGTCGACTGGGAGATCGCATCGGGCCTCACAAGCGCAGCTGGCTAGTCGGCGCGACATTCGTGCAGATCCTGCTCACCATGGCTGCTGCCTTGACCATCTGGAAGAGCGGACAGGGGAGCATCGCTGCCGAACGTGGCACTCCCAGTTGGAGCAACACCCTCACGTTCGTCGGCCTCGCGTTCATGAGCGCGAGTTTGGGGGTCCAGGGGATCGTCGGGAAGCGCCTGAACACGCAATTCACCACGACAAGTATGTGCGATGATGGGATTCTTCTCGTGTCATGCTCAGCTTTGGTGCAGTTGTTCTGACCACTGTCTGGGTCGAACTCGTCACGGACCCCAGCCTCTTCAACCTTCGCAAAAAGGTCATCACACGCGACCACAAGCTGATTGCAGCCGCAGGGCTCTTTCTTGGCGCATTCGTTGCGCGCGCGATCCTTGCCGCCATCGGCGCTGCTGCCGCACTTGGTATCGGCGCTGGTGTTCGCGTCCTCATCATGCTGGCTTGGATAGTCATTCCTGGAAAGCCTGCAAAGCATTGATGTTATTTTCCTTGGCCCCCGTCTCCTAGAGTAGAGAATGAAGCATTTTCTCCATTATATAGCATTTTCTACATCCATCGCTACAGATGAAATACCCGCAATTCGTCGTTGAATCAACCTGGGTAGCAACTTGAGTACACACGAGATCTCAGTCCGGTATCGGAAATGCTCACCGAGCAAACACATCCAACGGTCCATCCACTGGTGCGGTGGAGACCTCAGGCTGCGTCCCTGCGTCCTGTCCATGCTGATCGGCGTCGTAATTGCGTAGCGGAACCCAGCTGCTCAACGGATTCGTGCCCGGCTCATAGCTTGCCTCGGAGATATACAACAGCAAGCCATCTGAAGCCACCTGCGCGCTTTGCGTGGCAGTCAGCTGCAAGCTTTTGGGCACGTCCACCGACATCCCTTCCTCCTCAGATTCGAGGACCGGAATCTGGACAGATATGGCACGATTGCACCGTGCCAGTGGAACAATAGCCGTAGCTAACGAGGACATGCTTGTGTCTGCGTGGTACGGGATCCCAGCGAACGTTGTCGGATATGGGAAACGATAGGCAGTGGACGGCGATTGCTCCAGCCCTCCACTTGCTTCTGCGTTATGTCGGATAGAGGGCGGGGATGAGGAAGGCAACTCTTGTAATCGAGTATCCCTCCACCAGAATCTAAAGACATGAGGTACATCGCCTTCAACTGATGAAACACCCACCTGAAAGGCGTCTCGCAATCGCCGATGTCTTGCCCTTTCCACTTGATCACATCCAGAATGTGCAAGATCCCGTTTTCTCGCCAGTTCTCATCAAGGATGCAATCTCTTCAAGAATTCTGAGCACATTCAAACAGCCACAAACCGAAATCAGCTCACAGGACCGTCATTGGAGGGAGCGTAGACGGAAATCTTGGCATGAGTAGCTTGCCCAACTTCCTGCTTCGAAGAGCCGTGTTGGAGACTGGCCGAGCCCTGGTAAGCTATCTTCAACTAGCAAGAGCGGTATCAAATACTACCTGTGCCGGGAACACCCAGAGACTGATCGGTCACTGCGAGGCATCGTTTTCCCACCGGAACAGGAGCCACTGTAATACAAGACCTCAGCGGGGGCCAGAAACTGAAAATCAGGCCAGGGAGGGATACCTGCAATCCAAGCCGTTTCCAGATCGTCCGGAAGACCGTCCCCCGTGGCAGTGCTCCACACAGAACGCGTCCCATCTTCGCTCATCTCGAGCAGCTCGGCGTACATGCACTGATCCGCCCACTGATTCTGGTGACTCGCTGCTCGCGCGGACGGATGCGCAGAGCCCGTGCCGGCCCTGTTCTTGCCCTTGCCCTTGCCACGCTTCTTTCTGGGCTTCGTCGTGCCCGACATCGGAACATCCACGATCTCACCAGGCGCAGTTTGGGATGGCAGAAGCGCTGCATAGGCAGCGACCCCGGTTCGCACGATGCCGTCCCCGCCCCCGTCGTGCTCCTCCTCGTCCTCGGAGTGTCCAAGGCTGAGCCCGGCAAAGCCGTCAAGCTGCCGGGACGCGTCGACGCGTTCAGCCCGTTTCTAGATGCGGAATCGGAGCAGCGCAAGCAGATCGCGTGAGCGGGAGGCAGATTTGTATGGGTGCATATGCGAAATCGATTAACGGTCTACATGAGGACAGCACGTAACGAGGGGGTGCATACACGTTTCTGTTCCTCAAGCGCCTGGGCGTAGTCAGCACCACAGCGCGCAGACGGTACGACGAGGTAAAGGGGGGTACCTTTCTCCTCCGGAAGTCTTGAGACTCGGCGGTCGGTGGCAGCTTATACGTGACCCGTCGATCTTTTGACATCGGGGTGGTGGACATGAAAGACACGGAGCTCTAGCGGGCCGAGATGCAAAGCTGCACAAACAGATTCTGAACCTATGGCAGCTGTGGGTGTGTGCTTCAAACGTCTGAAACCGCGATCCAAGATTCCAGCTCCAGGTTTCACGCGTCACCGGTTACCGGTGGCGAACTCACGGTCGAAAATACCTTACTACTTATGAGAAACGAGGAGAGACACGTGATCGCACCAGAGATGATGAGGACCGAATGTTGTTACTATAGTACTCTGCTGCATTGGCTAGACTCCTGATAGACTCGCCGGACTGAGTTTGAATGGGGCCGAATTTATTTCGTTTAAATTTACAAGAATTCCTCTATATCTACGCCTCGGCAACACCGAGCTCCTCTTCCTCAGCGATGAGGCGCTCAGCCTCCAGGGCTGCCATGCAACCACTGCCAGCACTGGTGATAGCCTGCCGGTACCTCTTGTCCTGGACATCACCGGCCGCAAAGACGCCCTTGACGGAGGTCTGCGTCGTTCCTGGTACGGTGACGATGTACCCGTCGGTATCGGTCTGCAGCTGGTTGCGGACCAGGTCGGTCGCAGGTTCGTGGCCTGGGCGACACATCACATCAACAACCGTGCAGATGAGCCACACAGCACGTCTCGCTTACCAATTGCGTAGAACAATCCGTTCACGGGCAGCGTCTTCTCCTCGCCCGAGACGACGTCCTTGATCCGCAGGCTTTGCAGGAGATCACCGTCCCCAACACATTCAGTCGCGACTGTGTTCCAGAGAACAGTCTGCGGAGGGGTGGGCTAGTGTGAGAATTCGATCATTTCAGGAGACAAGAGCACGCGCTCACGATCTTCGGGTTGTTCAACAAACGCTTGGCCATGATCTTCGAAGCCCGCAACTCGGCTTTTCGAACAAGAACGTAGACGTGCGAGCCGTACTTCGTCAGGTCTGCAGGGATTGGTTGAGCCGCGCCCAATTCGGGAACACGAGATGACACGCACAGGTGGCCTCCTCCGCGGCCGAGTCGCCCCCACCAATGACCGCCAGAGGCTTGTTGCTAGGCGGGATCAGCGCCCGCAGTTTCAAGCTGGTAGCACATACCGGAAAATGGGCACAGCGCCGTCACATACGGCACACGCACTGATCCCGCTCTGCCAGTAGAGGTCCTCGCCCTTGAGTCCCAGACGCTTCGCGCTGGCACCCGTGGCGATGATGATCGTCTCAGCTGTCTCGGGCTCCTCGTCTTCCTGCATCTCCCTCCAGTACCGGAAGGGTCGCGACGAAAAGTCGATCTTCGACACAGTCTCCGTGATAATCTGCGTGCCGAATCGGATAGACTGATCCCGGAATTTGTCCATGAGCTCAGGGCCCATGATTCCACTGGGGAAACCGGGGAAGTTCTCGACTGCCGGGAATGGACGGTCAGCTGGAAGGTGAATTGGGCAGACAGCATGGTAACGCACTGTCGGTCGTGGTCGTCAGCTGCCCTCCCGCTGCGAAACCGTTCGCCATGAATCCTTCGAACAACACGGGGTTGAGGTTGGCACGCGCGAGATAGATGGCGGCGGTGTGTCCTGCAGGACCTGAACCGATGATCACCTATTCATCCGGCGAGCAGCGTCAAATTCATCGTCTCCACTACAAAGTGGTGCAGACAGACCACTTTGGAGTGCATTTTAGTGCTCTTCTCTCCGGCAGGCATGGTGGATATTGATAGATATCGCTTTGGTGAATCGGGGCTGTTAAGGCTGGAAATGGGAATCGACAGCGACCCTAGGATATATGGGCGGAGGGAGGTCCGAAAAATTCGATGAATCTTCGATGAGAGAATGGGTGGATGAGATAACGTCTGCACGTGACTCTGACTGATGTTCTTACCCATCCGAAAAGGCCGATGCCTCGCGCGTCCATCTGACGGAGGTGGACAAGCGAGGATGAAACCATTGGCGGATGGTTACTTCGGCGCTCATGTCCGATGGGTTCAAGAAATACAATGGACGAAGGGAGCAGGAGACGAGGCCAAGACTGTGTCAGAGGCTGACGTGGGGGGGCTGACTCGGGGTTTTCGGGCCAGTTCAAGGCCGAATGCCGAAGAGGTCATTAACGACATCAAAGACGAGTGTGATACGCCATGCTACGTTCGCTGTTTGGCGATGTTCAGAGCGATCCAAGACAAAAAGAATGTCGGATTTTCCGAGTATGCTAATGAGTGTGCGCTAGTGTACAGACCAGTGGAATGAATGTGACAAGTGAAAGAATAACATTAAGGTGCTGCCCATGGGACCTCGCCTAGCTTCGGCCTCCTCGCTCTTGGCTTTGGGTTCGGGTCTGCAGTCAGCTTCGATGCATAGGATGGGCCGACGGTCTCCGAGGCGGTCCTTCGCAGTCTCTTCGGTGCTAGAGCAGGTGTCCTGGGCGAGTCGGCAATCGGCACGGCCGGTGAGCTTCGGGTAGGCTGATGAGATCCCCGGGCGACCGCTTTGAGAGGTTTCAGGCCGGGCTTCAGCACCGGAACAATCTCTCGCGCAAGCTCCCGGACCAGGACAGCCCCGTCTCGGCTCAGAGCCTCGACGACACCCAGCAGACCGTACCGTTCAACCAACATCGCCCGGTTTGGATGAACCTCGCACACCGTCCGCAGAATCCTGAGCAGATTCAATCGCACCACCGCCTTTTCCTTCGAGTGACTGCTGGCTGGCGCCAGTCTCTCTACGATCCGCTGGAACAAGCTGGGAGATCGTGACATGGCAATCGTCAAGGGAGTTGACAAGCGTGCGATCTTGAGGAAAGGGTCGAGGAGATTCTCGAATGAATTCGCTTTGGCCGTCGCAAAGCACTGCACCAGTGCAGCCACAGACGAAGCCGTCGTCAGCTCGTCCTCGACACGAGCCGTTTCGTCCTGCAGCCAGCTCAAGACCGACTCGAGCGCACTGACTTGGAAATACGGGTCTTCCAGCAACTTGATGTACATCGCCAACCCATCGTGTTGCCAGAGGAGTGTCCGGCAGCTCTTCCCGGCGCTCGCAAGATCACAGAGGATCGGCAGCGCGAACTGTTTCAGCGGCGAGCGTGTCTCGATCACCCGTTTCAAACAAGGGATGATCCCTGCCTGCGCAGCCTCCTCTTGCCGAGACTTGTTCAGCCGGCAGAGATTGTAGCAAGTCTGGAAGATGTGGTTGGCCATTTCTGTGCTGTGAGGGCCAGATGACTGTTCTTCCAGAATTCTGACCAGCACCTCGATGGCATTCGAGTTCTGAAGCACCTCCAACAGAGTCGCATTCATCGACAGGTGCTTCACAGCCTTGAGCATCTGCACCAGACAATCAGGCTCTAGCAGCTCGCATGACCGCAACAGTCCTGGGACTCTTGAGCGAATTTGGCGCTGTTAGAACAAAAGCACGCACTTCTCACGACCTTCCTCGTTCCCAACGCGTTCCGCACATGGATGTCTGACTGGGATACTTGGGAAAAGACCAGCAAGATCTGAATGATCTTCATCTTGATCGCCTTTGCGGCCTCTCCTTTCGTGTTGATCACATTCAGCAGCGCCGCTGACAACGGATCGAGCAGACCCGCACGGATGAACATCCGGCAAAAGTCGTTCTTCGTCGTCGGACTCTGCAACTCGAAGACACTGCCTATACCGTTGAGCGCATGTTGCACCAGGTCTGCTTGTTCGTTGTAGTCTTCGTCGATGAGATCCACGAGCACTTTCAGGCCGCGGCAGCTAGAGGAGCAAATCAGGCGGGGAACGACCGTGAACACAAACAACGAACGAAATGAACATCTGCAGCGTCATCACAGACGTGTGACACAGTAGCCGGATGAAGTTGGAAGCTTCTAATCTGCACTCGGAAGGATACTTCTTCGATGTGAAATCTAGGAGTTTCGGTATGGATGTCAGGTAACAGGGAGTGCACTCACTCATCATGACGGGAATTCCCCTAGAAAGCATTAGAAGGAACAGCAGAGACCTTTCAACATCAATACGAACCCAATCAGACAGAAACTCTCCAGAAAACCGGCGTCTGCGTTGACCAACTGCGAAGTGGTCAGAGTGATCTCGCATGAATCGGAGACATCACCGACCAAGTTGATGATTTGGAGCAGCCGCAAGCTCACATCCCTAGAGAACTTGCCTTCGAGAACCTCGAGGATGGCGAGCATTCCATGGGACGAGACAAGCTGTACCTGCATTTCTGGTGCTTCGGCCAGAGTGCTCAGCTGCACAAGACCGTCAAAAGAAGCCCATCAAAGCAGGGAAGGGACGGACCAGTTGATCGCACGCTTCACGAAGCTGGAAGTCAGGTGCAGAGGGTGTAAGTTGGTCCACCAGTCCGTTCACCATATTGCACAAGCGAGCATATTTGTCTCGCTGCAGGTTAGCCTCGAGGTCGTCTTCGGCAAAGCCTTCATCGATCTGAATGATACTGAGATGTAATCCTAAAACGACAAAGAACAAATACCTCCGCGAAAGGATCGTCTTCATCCGAGTTATCATCACCGAGCCAAGAACGATTTGACAGCCTTGTCGTCAGCTGTAGCGCAGGAGACTGGTCCGAAGCTTGTTTTTCTCATCAGTGCTGCCCTCAAGCAAGTAAAAGCACGCACCTGATCCATTGTGCTTCCCGAAAACATCCTCATAATCCTCATCATCATCTTCGGTATATTTACCTAGTTCAGATTCGCTGAGCAATTTCCGGGCTTCAGCACGGCCCATGGATCCTCCTAGACCCGAGCCGGAGCCCGCAAAGGAAGATGACCGCGAATGGGCCAATCGCGTCGGCGCAGGAACGGGGGCCACACTGGGCAAGACCGACGCAGAAGCTGGCCCAGGACTGGTAGTCAACGGCTTATTCGTGAACAAGGGGCTAGGAGCAGGTCGACTTGGCTTGGGGTCGGATGTGGATCGATTGAACAGTCCAGTGACGCTGGGCGCCGAAAGCGGTCCTGGTGACCGACCTAGACCGAAAGTTTTGATGTCATCGGGGTGGAATAGACCTCCGCGACGAGTGGAGTTCTTCATCTGGCAGAAATGAGGAACTCCAATGCTTCAACAAACCCACTGTACGCACTTTGAAGTTCGCCACCTTGTTCTCTAGGGTGTCTTCGTCCTCTCCTCCAATGAGATCCGAGTAGTCTTCGAAGATATCCTGTATATCAGGCCCTGGCGGTTTTGCTAAAGGTATCGGAGGCTTGGGCACAGGACTCTTATTGGGTCGGATGGTTCTCGTGTTCTCTTCAGAGGAAGATGTAGTGTTGTCGCACTCCCCTGCTGCCTTCTCCAGCCCTGAAAGCTCAGCATTAGTACATGAACTCCCAGTCAAGCCGTGAGGACACACCCTGCAGTTTAGTCAGCGAGATCCCTTCTTCGAAGTCGTCATCCCAGTTGTCTGTCTGCTCTTCCGGCGGTTGAAGGGAAAATGTGAGTGGTTGAATCTGGATCTTTTCTGAAATGTTCTGCTTAGGAAGAGATCCAGACACCGCACGCCAGGCGCCCAGCGCGGAACCTGACGATGGAGAAGCTCCCAGGTCTCTTGTAGGCGAAACGGGCCGCCCATTCGCGCGCCCAGGGTTCTTGGAAGGCCGGGACGGTGCTGCGATCATCAACATCTAGCGGGGATCCAGACTTGACAAGACACACATTTGAGCGCCTCATTCCACTCTTGAACTTTCAAGACTGCCTCGTCGTAATTGTAATTACTCAGCGGTCGTCTCTGTCCATCCTGAGCCCCAGGCCTTGCACTACGGCGTCGTTCTGCCGAGTCCTTTCCACCACCCATCCCACGGCGCGCGGCAGCCATCCAAGGATGTCGCAACAGCTTCTTCGCCGATATGCGCAGGTTGCTATCCTTTTGGAAGCAATGATAGAGGAAGTCCTTCACGATCGGGGATGCGCCTTCGGGTATTGGTGGACAATCATCCTGCACGATGCGGAACAGAGCAGGCATCGGATCCAGGGTGTGATATGGCGGATGTCCCTCCAAAAGCTCGATTACCACACATCCGACACTCCAAATATCCGAAGCTGTCGTGGCTCCAGATTGCTCGATCACTTCCGGTGCCATCCAGTAAGGGCTACCGACAACGGCTCCATCGTTAACTGCCGTCGTGTTGCTGGCCACTCCGAAATCCGCCAGCTTCACGGTGCCGTCCTTGTTCGTCAAGATATTAGCGCCCTTGATGTCGCGATGGATAACACCCTGGTCGTGTAGATAAACGAGCCCATCGAGCACTTGCGAGATGTAGACAGCGACCAAGCTTTCTGGAAACTTGCCGAACCGCTTGGAGATGGCGTGCAGCGAACCATTTTCACAGAATCTATGACCGATTTGAGATGAAACGGCTCGGAAAATCCGGTGGAAACGCACTCAAGTATGATGTACAGGTATTCCCGCGTCTTCACAAACCCCTTATACTTGACGATATTGGGATGCTACACGCTGAGAATCAGCCGGATCCGTAATCTTGTTCGAATCACCCACGTTGAGGTTCTTGAGCAAGTCGATTTCGGACTAGAAGGGATAAGGTGGCACACCGAGTAACTGCGCGATATGGCGCACCATGATTTGTCCAATCTCGCCCTTCGGGATGTTCGTCAACTGAATCTCCTTAACCGCGACAGTTTCTCCCGTTGCCCAATTTAACGCCCCTGCATCGATGATCAGGAACAGAGGCGTGCATGCGCGACATCTCACGCACGATAGACCTGCCCAAATGCTCCTTTGCCAAGGGAATCGCCCAGTTGCTATATACTGATTAGCTCGCCCTAGCACGGGTCGCGAGATGCGGGACACACGTAGTCGTTGAGAGACTTCGGACCATTGGTGGGGCTTGAGCCGGAGTCCTTGCGAGAGGGCGGGCGCAACGGCGTCGACATGGTGGTAGCAAGTCAGAAAATTTGCTTCCGCCGTTTCCACGAATATCAAATTGGTTTCAGAGAGCGTATGGATGTTTGGTCGTAAATCCTTTGGCAGCCAGAACGCGTCTTAGCAGAGATGTCGCGTCCAGCGCCGGAAGGTGGAAGAGAGAGGCTGTAACCTCCGGACTGTCCTGATGCGAGACACGCGCACAGCCACTGCTGTAATACATTATGGATTGCTCAATGCGCAAGCAGCGTCTCTCCTCTTTGGCTGGTTGGGTGAACTCAGCGTGAGTTTATGTATTACAAATATGCAAATTTCGAAGAACTTTCTGTATTTTATAAATGAACTCGAAGAAGATTAGAGGCTCGCATGACGTGACTTCGCGTCCTCCCTCTCGTTCGGGTATCGCTCACGTTTGTGGGTGCACAGCGCGCCTTGATCCAAGCTCTCGATAAAGTACGAGTGTATGAGACTTGTCCTTATTAAACACCGTAAAGGTATCTCTCGCCCTCTCTATCAGCGGGGGCTGCAGCTCTCATATGCACGCATTTGGACATAACGGTTCACCCCCCAGAGAAAGAGCGTTTAGATGGAGCTGGAAGCACAATGTAGAGTCTTCAAGTAGCAGCATGTAGGGCTCGATACCGGACAGATTGACCCAGTGGATGTCGTCAAGACATTAGACAAGCGTAGAGACAGTATCTATCGTTGTTTGCCAATTGATGGCTGGGCAAACTCTTCCCGTAGCTCCCGCTCTGCCACCAGGTAGCTTCACTCTGGTCAAGGCTGTTCTTATCTTCAGCACCGGAGGCTTGAGTACTTAGTCTGTTTCTATGTTTCTATGGCCCTCACACAGTCTGCGCGACACCCGGGGGCTCCTTCGTGGGACGATGAAGTTGTACCCGCTTTGCGCAAAAGTACCTTCCATTCTTCCTGTTCCCTACGTTATTTAACGTGTATCACAGGATTGGAAGGCGAGAGCCGAATGCTGTCGAGGCGAATCTCCGCCGCCGTCTCGATATCTTCCATAGAAGACGCCGATATAGCCTACCAGGCGCGACCATCGTACTCCCAGACCTCGTCTTCCGGACGCCCTGAGGCACCACGAATAGCCCATTCCGCCGTCACAACATCTACTCAGCGCGCTAGGACGTACTCTCAGCCCAAGTTGTCCGAGATTTCTACAGGGAGATTGAGTTCCTCCCGTGACCCCAAGCCGACGCGGATACCAAAGGCTACGAGAGGCCGAGAAGGAAGCATCACAACTGGTGGGGCCAGTAACAACACGTCTCCATACTCGTCGCCCCACGTCCCATCTGAAGGCTTCTCGGACTCACGCGGCAGGGATGACGCTTTGGTCATTCCAGCTGCCCTGGCCAATAAAGCATCTCATGACACGATCCATATTCCACACCATCAAACTTCGGGTCTGCTAAACGAACCGGCACCATTTGGCTCTGGCCCTTCGTCTGCCCACTCGCACGGCATGGAAGACGCGCCGCGACCGTCTGTCGATTCCGAAGAACGACCATTCGAGCATTGGTATCGGGGCGATGTGTCCCGAAATGGAGGTGTGGGCGAGCTGAAGGTCGGAAAGAGGGCGGAAATGTTGGAAATCGCTAATTATGGGCATACACTGAGGCAAAGACAAGCCCTGGCTGCTTCGCGCGAGGCTGAGCTTGCGACACCGCGGCGGCGAAAGCGGTCAGAAAGTGCCGCGGACATGCGGCCGGGCAGTGTTTATCTCGACGAGGATCATGCAAACAACGTGGGCCGGGTGCTTGACGAGGGACCCCTCACAGATTTGGACACCGAGATGTCAGATGTGGACGCGACGATGCAGTACGGCCTGTCCGTCGACCATTCTGCCGGCGACCATTCTTATCGCAGCGTAACCCCCACACAACTCCGAACACCCACGAAGCAGACACGAAAGACGCGGATACCATCACCAACACCACCAGCCGTTCAACGGGGAGCAAGCGAACCACCATCTGTGCCGGCTTCCTCCTCGTTGTCTCAGGCGGGGCGTCAAATCCAGAGCTCGTCGCGAGCCACGACAACTTCGCCTCCGCCGTCGGCAAAGAAACCACGTACAACGGCTACACCGAAACCAAAGCCGAAACCAGCCAAACCGGTGCGATCTAAGACTGTTGACGACTCGAATCGCAGAAGTGTTGCACATTATCCGTCACCTGGAGGTGACGATGAGGAGGATATGGCAGATGCGATCCCATCTTGGACGCAACCTGTTAAGCCTGCGACTGGACGATGGGATGATGTGAGTGCTTTTGTTACGGGTGACGCGCTGTCGTCTCATAAGCCCAGGTTGTTCTGCCTGTCGTCGCACGTAAGAAAGGGTTGGACGGGCATTATGAGCAGGCGGATGGTAGTCCCAAACCCAAGACACAGGACTCGGCGATTGCACCAGTGCGTTTGCCAACACATTTCAGGATCCCTAGCTCACCCTTCCCAGGCGGCAGGTACCTTTGCCTGGGACCATACCAAGTACCGACCCCCTCGTGACGGCGATATACCATTGGATGAGTTTGGCCGACCATTGGACCCGGAGGCTCCGGATGGCGATACCCTGACTGATGATGCCCAATACCCTCCGAACGAACACGAACGCACCCCAGTTGGACCCAAGCAAACTACCCTCGAACCTCCCCGCAGTCCTGCACCCTTTTCGCATTACCGGGATCTGCCGAACACTGCAAATATGACCGCCGTAGCAGAACCTTTTTCAGCTCCCGCGCAGAACGAACCGAAGAGGCCGCCAGAAGATGAAGATGGAGCTGGCTGTTGCCAGTGTGTTGTTATGTGATGCAGAGTTAGTTATCTTTTCTGTGCTCTTGTTTTCTTTTTGCTTACCGGTCCATCCTACGGAATTTTTGACGCTCGTTTCATTTCCGCACGTATCCCACACACATTCGTTCATTGGATTATGTACCCATAAATACCTACCCTTCGGTTAATTTGCATTAGGTTATGGCGGTTACGCCCGCAACGTCTCGGTCCGATCCTGCGTACAATATGCCTCGGGGATGGCGGGTGACGTTGGTTGCTTACTGAACATCCGTCCCTTCCCGAGGACTGTTGGGGTGACATTGACTATCCAACGAGTCGATGTTGGCATACCAGCGAGCGCAGGCACTTCTCGAGCTTCACACCAAAGAAAATACCCAAGTCACTACCCATGTAGTCGGAGGTCCCCCGATTCTGCCGAGTAGCTTGAAAGTTCATCTGAACTCTGCGCATTCACAAGCGCCTTGAGTTTCTGGCCCGGTATTCCAAGGGAACTCGGATCAGGGCCATCAACGCATCGGATTAGAGTAGAATGCGGCTGGTTGCGTACTGTCCGGTCTGCAGGCGAATGAAACAGGCGGCGAGACAGCGTATTGAACTTCCAGCTTGCTGTCCGTTGCTACAGTGAGTCAACTACAGACTTATATATTGTCAATACAAGTCCAACAGGGTCGGCAGATGTATATATAAGGAAAGAGTCCGAGTAGAGGCCCGAGTGCCAGTGTGATGAGTAGGTTTCAATGAAGGCCTTGGCGCTGATACTAATGAGACCGAAGGCGGGCGAAAGGCCCAAGTGAGGATCTTGAAAAATCACGTGCAGCATAATATGCTCCTCCTTCAATCTCGATGTCATGTCGTCGTCGCAAATCCAGACTCCTAAACCCTTATGAACACTATGGTCGCCTTTTGGAGCCCAACACTGCTTTGTCCGGCATCTTGTGTGGCCTTCTCATCTCGTCCCGTTGGCGGCCCGCTGTTTCGATCCCCACATGTCACCTGAGCTCCCCTGAAATAATCTCCAAGACCGCATGATCAACTTCTTCCATGAACACACGCCGCACCGAACCGAGCGATCCACGTTTGCCGCTCAAATACACGATCGTTGTCAGGTGGACTGCGAGATAAAACCAGGAGGTAGCGCGGGGCTGAGGAGCGCAGCTGCGTGAAAGAAAATGTCGTTTTCTCGCATCTGCATCTTTCTCGGTCTGTGCCTGTGGACGCCGTCGCTCTTCGCGCTCTCGCCGCAGTTCTTTGCATGCCAGGTCCAAAAGCCCGCGTCACAGTCCCCGCTCTGCGGCTGTCCGACTGGCACGATCTTCGTGTCGGCAAGTGACAAGCGGGCCCAGTTTACCACAATCCAGGCCGCCATAAAATCTCTGTAAGTCTGCGCCTGTGTGCATTGGGGGGAATGATAGTGACACACACTAGGCCTGCTACTGGACAGGCGACAATCCTCATCGGCCAAGGCGTTTACAACGAAATCGTGAATGTGACGCGGACAGCGCCTGTCACTCTGCTTGTAAATCATAAACTTCCAAGTCCGGGTCGCTCGAGGCTTACTCGCATATGTTATGCTACAGGGGCAACTTCCGGCATCCGCTGTGCTGGCGGCCAAGCCTTTTGCCAACGCGTCTTCGCCAGACCTGAATCTGGTCCAAGTGTTCGGTTCCGTGTTCGACAAAACCGGTCAAGACGACGAGACCACAGCGGTCTTAGTGGTCGCCCCGAATCTCGCGTCGTCCCTCATCGGCGCCGGTACCGACGGTGCCCCGCTGCAGCCGAGCTTCGGGAACGTGGACTTCAAAGCGTACAACATCGACTTCCAGAACCGGGCGGTGAGATTGATTGACGTACCCTGGCACATGCGCAGCCCGTGCTGAAACTATCTGCCAGGCCAATTTCGCGATCGCACAGGCACTTGTGACGGACATCTCCTACTCGAACGCATCCTTCTACGGCTGCACTTTCGCGAGTTACCAGGACACCTGGTACACCGGACGTAACGCCAGCACGTATGTTGTTGATAGTGTCATCTTCGGGCAGACAGATTGTGCGTGCATCAGCCCGTAGCCGGTGGTGATCCATACTTACTGATTCTGCCAGATTTGTTCGGCTTCGGCACCGCGTGAGCAGCCAGCGAACGGTTCTCAAAGCGAAGAGGCTCGACTCATCCCTGTTGCAGCTGGTTCCAGAATGTGATCTTGGCCAACCGGGCCTGCGGAGGTGGAATCGTGGCCTGGAAGGGCAACAACCAGACCTTTGCGCCTGGGAACCGATACGGGGCGTACATCGCCTCCTCAACTATTATGCGGGCACGTATCGGGCAGCCATCATCTCTTACGCGCTCTGACCGCAGCGAACAGTCTCCGGATGCGAACGCGACGACTGTCACCAACGGCAAATGCGCCCTCGGTATGTGCCGGACTTCATTCATTCGCATGGCTAAGCCAAGCTAATGCACGCTACAGGCCGGCCCTGGAACGATCATGCGACGACGGTTTATCTGTCGACATTCATGGACGAGAGCATCAATCCTATAGGATTCATACCATTCTCTAGCAGCAGGTATGGCCCGGCGGATATTCGTCTTGCTGACAGCGCGATTACTCATGTGCGACAGGCCGACCATTATGAATACGACTTATTATGCCGAATTCAATTCGACGGGCCCCGGCGGGAACACCAAGTCGCGGGTGGGCATCGAACACATCCTCACGGCCTCACAGGTCAGCAACTTTACGGTCGACGGGGTGTTCCTGGAGCACCCCAAGTGGATCGATTTCAACTACATCTTCTAGTAGTACTCGAGGACATGTGATAATACTAAATCAAAAAGAGTGGCGAGCTTTAACAGCTGTGTCTATACGTACTGGTTACATGGATAGTTCTGTGTCCAGACATTATTGCGCATAAGGCGTTTTGTCGACAGAGGCTATCCCATCGGAGCCCAACTCGTCCTGCTCGCGAAAGTCAGAGCGGATGTAGTCTGCGTCCTTGGCCTTGGTGTCATCATCAACCTCCTGCAGCAGGAAAGACGCGGGCTTGGACACTACCCGTGTAGGACTGAATGTCGACGGCGACACGTGGGTCGAGATCTGCGTCTGGACGAAGATCTGGTCCGTTTTTGCGCCGGCGCGGTTCGCCAGCTCCATGTGCTGGCGCTACATAGCAGGGCAAGTCAGAACGAGCTGAGCAGAGGTGATCTCACGTGACGTACGCGGGTGCCAGAGCGGCCTTGGCGCTCAGACGAGTACGCGTCCTGGCTTCCCTGCTCGCGCAGACGATACTCGTTGATCTGGTTCAGAGTGAACATCAACGACACGACGTAGGCCTTGCCCAAAGCCATGTTGACGAAGAGATGCCCTACGGCCGGTGCTTAGTCGGCGTCTGCAGGAGGCAAGAACGGAACTTGGCAACGCACAGAGCAACTTGTCCCCGAGGGTCTGGGTCATGATCAGATCCGTCGTGGCGAGGACGGCGGGCGGGATGGCGCCCTCGAAGACCAGGCGCAGCATGCGGTTGATCAGGTTCTTTGTCCGGTCCAGCCCGGAGTTGCGTTTCTGCAGATAGTAGATGGTGCCCCCGGTGATCATCACATCAGCGATGAAGACGCCGACAAGATGGACCTGAGAAAATCGATTAGTCCAAGGCCACGGATCTGTAAATGTCCACATACTAGCAACCACGTGACCTTGGCCTTGGTCGCATTGGCCAAGATAGACGCAAGCGAGAGAGAAACACCGGCCAGGCCAAGGCAGATGGCGAGCAGAATGGGTATACAGAAGGCCCAGTTGCGCGACAAAAGGAAGAATCTGACCCCGCATCGGTCACTGATCTTGCACGAGGCAGGGAACACACACCTAAGACAGAAAAAGCCTTGGACGGTCGCACCAATGACACCGGTCTACAGTCATATTCGCGTCGGAACGGATCTCTCTCTGTCTATGAATTGAACCGCACCATCAGGGGCGTGCTGACCTGCCACCAAGCCGTGGCGACCAGCGTGCGCGCAACATCGGGGTTAGCATACTGAGACATCATCGCCCGGTGAGATCGGTCCAAGGAGCAGAGAGGAGAGCCGCCGCACATCAATCACATTCTGGACCCAGACGACAGCGATGCCCTGCGCTGTCTTGAGCATAGAGAGCGTCACCACGACCAGCACGAGCCAGTAATAGTACGTCTGCAAGGTCGCCGTCGAGCGTGTCCTTGTCCTGAAGAACGTGTACGTTTGACAGAAAATCACTCCTGGAGATTGATCGGACTCCGAGAACCACTGGAGGATAAGATGGACACGGACCCATCAGGATGCAGTCTAAAAACGCGCCAAGGACCCATGGACCAAGAGAAGTCGTCCGCGTGTCGACAAAGTGCTGGGAAGGAGGGACCAAATGAATGACCGAAGCAGAGCCTGACATGGCGGTTGAAGTGGTGGGGGTCCTCCGATGATGCACGCGTCGTAAGCTTTAAACAGACACGAAGAACCGAGGAGATCAGATAGCGGCATTTGCCAAAAATCAGTAGCACATGAGTGCAGATTATGTACAGCAAAGATGGGTCCACCAGCCGAGCTCATCTTTCGAAGCTCGGGAGGACCTCCGGAGGTCTCCTCCTCGTTCATTCATCCCGTACGTCGAGAACAGCATCAACATGTCGCGTGCGGCGAAAAAGTCCAAGACTGCAGTCCTTTCTTGGACTGGGAGAAATTCGGAGACTCAGGGATCCCAGGAACCTGACAGTGATACGCGCTGTACGCTAGTTGAGCTCCCCGGCACCCGTGAGAGAGAGGTTACGGAATGGCGAGAAACAGAGAGTCTGTGAATGTGTGATGGGCTGATCTGCCCAATCACGATCGGTACGCATCCGAATACGGACAAGTTGAACAACTTCTTCCGTTTGCGGATTCTGATAGTGCATGCTCCCATTTCTTTGGCGATGGTTCTCTCGAGATCTCTGTTCGATTTGGGCCGGGCTCGCACACACGGTCCAGCCCATCCCATCCTACAAGTAGGCGTGTCAACATCATGAATCTTCGCCGCTTTCCTCGAGTGCCCCACCTCCCCCGATGTCCTCTACCATCGAAGAGAAAGTCGAAGCGGGCTCGAACAGCGAGTCGAAAGTCGAGTCGCGTGAGTGTCTCCGTGTGTGTCTGCGTGCGCCGCGCATCTCATCGTCCGCCGCCGACAGAGAGCTCCCCACCTAGCCTGCACAAGACGCACGAGAATCCCGACGGCCTCAAGCTCGACCGCCATGGGCTCCCCCTCATCCCCCAGCCGTCATCGGATCCATCTGACCCCCTGAACTGGCCCATGTGGCTGAAGATTGCCATCTTGCTCCAAGTCAGCTTCCTCGCTGGTCTCGGACCGCTGAACCAGGCTGTGATCAATCCCGGTGCGTTTGGCATGTCATTGGGTCTGTCTGTCCCGCCAACTGAATTCGCCTCCAAGCCTACGTTCCGCTCGCGGCGCACTTCCACAAGACCACAGTGGTTGCCAGGCACGTCATTCATTGAACTGTAGCATCCCCGCCGCGCTGACACGCAGCTTGCAGTTACCAGACCACGATCGCCGTACGTTATGTTTGGGTTTGGGGCGTTGTGGAGCTTGTCAGGTTAATTTCCGATCGACTAGATCGCGTTTGCCGGTGTCGGTTCCTTCCTATGGGTGCCCCTCGCAAACACCTATGGCCGTCGGCCGCTCCTGTTGTTCACTACGCTCCTGTCGGCCGCCTCGTGCCTTGCATCCGGAAAGGCCCAGACATGGAACCAGCTCATCGGGACTCGTGTGCTGAACGGTCTCGGCACCAGCTCGTTCTTCACCCTCGGTGCTGGTGTCGTGTCCGACTGCTTTTTCCTGCACGAGAGGCGCGTTCCGATTATTCTCCGTTGTTTTTGGGGTGCTAAAACAGTCTGTAGGGGTCGTGCGATGGGCATCTTTACCGTGTTCTTGGTGAGCAGATGGTGTCTCGTGTCATGCGTCAAGTGAATACTGATCGTCTATCAAGACTAACAGCGCCCATGTTGCCCCGATTCCCGGAGGTCTTCTGGCCCAGTATGTCAACTATCGGTGGTGCTACTACCTGGTATGCTTCTCTGCGCGTCTGGGTCTGATGATCATCTCTGAGTGCCAATGCAGCCCGGTGTCTTGGACATGACACTCTTCGTCCTGATGTTCTTCTGTCTTCCCGAGACGCTCTACCAACGCGGATCGAAGCCCGTCGAGACTGCGCACCCCATCCTGCGCCGGATGAACCCCCTCGGGCACCGCCCCGAGGGCAAGCACCTGAAACTGGCCGACTTCGGGCGCCCGTTCCAGATGCTGATGTATCCCTCCGTGCTGCTCACCGCGTTCTACTACGGCGTGACCTTCGCGTTCGCGTCGATCCTGCCCTCCGTCACGTCCGCCACGCTCTTCCGGCTGAAGCACCACTTCACGACGTCGCAGACGGGCTTCGCGCTCGGCTTTGGCACCCTCATCGGCTCGACGCTCGGCGAGCTGGCCGGCGGACTCGTCATCGACCGGACCATGCGCAACAGCCGCAAGAAGGGCGGCGAGGCCGTGCCCGAGGTCCGCCTCAGCGGCATCTGGCCCGGCGTCATCCTCCAGCCGGTCGGACTCCTGGTTTGGGGCTTCTGCTGGCAATACAAGACCCACTGGCTCGGCCCGACGTTCGGGTTTGCGATTCTGTGCTTTGCCATCCAGATTGTGGCCACTGTGCTGTACTCCTACGTTGCCGATTGTACGTCTGCTTCCAAGGACCTTGGGAGGCTCAATCCGCTGACTTGAGATACAGGCTATAAGCCCCAGATGCCGGAGACTGCGCAAGTGTACAACTTCACGCGTCAGATCTTTGGGATGACGCTTGGCTTCTGGTCCATGTACGACGCTCGCTTCGTTCTCCTCTGTTCTCGATACTGATGAATCTTGCAGTCCCATGGGTATGAAGATCGGATTCCAGTTCATGGGCCTTACTCTCGCCCTCGTCGGCCTCGTCTTGTTCCTGCCTGTCGTCTACCTGATGTACCACGGTAAAGCCATGCGCGAGAGGCTCGGCCAGCCGAAATTCAACCAGAGCCTCTAATCCTGGACGCGTTTTCTACCTTCCGGCTTCCGGGCGTACATTACACAGTGCGTAGTTTAGATTTTTCGGATGACTTTACGACGGCACCGTATTTCACGAAAATAATGTATATATGTCTAATAGCAAATGTCCGTGTTTTGTGGATGATGCGCGGGTACTGCAGATGATTGATGAATCAAATATTCTCGCACGTTGTCTCCGATCTCCTGCCGGTCTGCTCCCACGGAAGCAAAATTTTCGTGGATCTTGGTGCACACCCAGCTCTGCCATCCGGCTATACACATTCCCCCGGGGCCCAGATCCGTGTGGCCACTGTGCACATGCAGTGCTTACCACGCACCGGAGTCCTGGGCGTCCGTGAGGAGCGGGAATCTACAGAAAGTCGACACTTATTCGAAGGAGGCTTCCAATTATAGCGTGTGAACGTCGGGAGGAGATAGCACATGGTTCGGATGGACGCAATCTCTGGAATCAGACCTCTGCGTGACAGATCCGACATAAAAACAGGGACCCTGCAGATGCGGCGGAAGCAGACAGCAGACGCGAACATGTATCCAACCTGTCGCGAGCTTCTTTGTGTCGTAGCCAGGCACAGTTGTGTTGGAGTTGAAATTTGCGCTTAGTGAAGCGTGTGCAGCCGATTCGTCTCTCGTGGAGCAGTGCAGCGCGGCTCCGTTTTTCCATCCGATGGCGCGAGACAGAAGTCACAGAACAGATGATAGATTGGACCCACGAACAAAGGGCAGACAGAAGTAGAACCTAATGAACGCGAGCACATGCAGTCTCTCCTCAAGTCAGAGGGCAAGTTCCGAACAAGGAGGCCGAGCTCCCGGCGAGTTGGACGTTCTGACAAGAGTACTGCGTTGTTGTTTTTCCGCTACCCGGGGGATGAGATGCGCGATGGGCACAGGAGTAGGGAGAAGACTCACGTCAGGGTGATGTTGTTGACGTTGATGTCGCTGCATCGGGCTCCGGGGGAACACGAGAGAGTCGCCACGGTCGCGGAACTGCCGGTTCCGCTGATTCTGTGAAAGGAGATAAAATCGCCATGTGGTCGAGGCCAGGCCACAGAAGATGGCTCACGAGTTGAAGAAGACGTCCTGGATGAACACGTTTGAGGGGTTCTGTGCGCACTGGGAGTACAATTTAAGGGTTCATTCATTATGCGAACTTGAATCGGACTCACAGCAGAAGCGCTGCAAAGATCCAGCATAAGTGACTGGTTATTTTGGATGCAGGAGCCAACAGCACGCACCTGGTCATGTAGCATTGGTCGATGACGATCGGATTACCGACGTTGCTCTCGATGAAGTTGCTGAAGGTGATGTTCTTGACAATACCGCTTCCGACACCTGCGCCAGCCCAGGCTTTGATTCGTGCTCCATTTTGCGCATTGCTCATGGTGACAGAACTGGAGAGAGAGTCAAGTTGAGTTGAGTTTCTGTCGCCATTGAACATCGGGATGGACCAACTCAGCAATAACATTCTCCACGATGTCGAACATCCCGGCAAATTGCCCGAGGGAGCCGACAGAAATGCCGCTAGTCAGTGTTCAGTAAAAGTACAATGAGAGGCATCTGAACGCCGCACTGAGATCCATTGCAGTTGAGATGGGATACGATCATATTTGTCGCATCTTGAGCAGAGCATCAGAGTTTATTCGTATATCAGAGAAATGAACGGACTGGGCTAAATGCACGGCGTGGGCTCCCCTGTCTGCAAGATAATCGAGTAAAGGAGCAGACTCACCTTAAACGAAACACAGTCATCTCCATTGTTGATGAACGAGTTTTTTATCGTCACGGTGTCACTCCGATAGATATCCCATCCGTCGGTATTTACCGCACCATTCTTCGAGGTCGAGACGGCGGTGAGGTTGACGTTGTTGAAGGTCACGTTCTTCCCCTCGTTGACGAAATTGAACCATTCCGGGCTATTTATCATCCGGATGTTTTGCACGACGACGTTCGTCGCTTGGAAGATGGTCAAGATGATCGGTCGCGCCAGGGAGGAGGACTGGGCAAATCCATCGTACCAGGCCTGCCGCAACTCAGGCGTTGCGAGAGAGAGTGTGTGTGTGTCAGCTGAAAGACGCACCTGGCCAGACCCATCGATAACACCTCCGCCATCAACTTGGATGTTGGTCCCACCGAGTAACCAGAAGGTAATCTGAGTTTGGAAGGCGAACGGAAACCCATGCTGTCATCAAAACATTCACGTGACTACGCGTTCTTCTGTCCCACTGCAGTGTTGGCAAGTCTTACTTACCGCTGTCCAGAACGCGAGATTCGGGTTGAATTTGATGGTTCCCTGGACACTCTGGCGGTGGATGTGAGCTCGCGCTCGAGGAGTTGGATGAGACGGGGTACAAGATGCTTATTGGACAGACCCGTCATGTTCATGGGCGACGAGATGTTGAGGGTCGTCGAGCTTGGGATAGTGACGAGGCTGCAGGACTTCATCGCGCTGAGCAGCTGGGGCGCATCGTCTTTGCCGGTCCCCAGCGCCGTGAGCGTGCACGACTGCGCGAGGGCCGACGGGAGCACAAACAGGAGCGCGACCAGAGAAGAGCAGTGGAAACGCATGCGGAAGTTTCTGTGGGAAGTTGCTCTTTCACTCACCACGCCCGTCTGCATAAAAGGACCCACTCGGGCCGTCCGGTTGTTCAGTCTGGGAGTGGGGGCGAAACCACATGTCTGCACCCGTGACCGCTCGACGGAGGTTTTCTCAGAATAGAGGATGGCTGTGATATCGAATAAGGAAACTGACGACAGTAGGTTGACGCTTACCAAGTCAGTAATTGCCCGGAGGAGTGCACGAGACAATGTCGAGCCTGATTTGAAGGTCCAGTGCAGTGGCGACTTGTGTTGTGTGCATAACCACAACCCTTACTATAAGCGTGGAGATCCCTATCATCTGCTGCTTCATAAGTCAGCCGTTCGCAAAAACCGGATCGCTCCTCCTGAGTTCGAGATGCAAACAGTGGTACGTAGAGGTGGGTTTCTTACGTTCAATCAGTTCTTGAGTGCTTCCATGGGATCTGAATGCGAGTTCTGTCAAGAGACTATGGTGATATCGCCCTTCTTACCGCGAGTTTCCGTTCAAGAGAAGAGCAGCGCGCGCGAAGCACAAGTATGTTGCTCTGCCTGTTTTGCCCTTAGTATGATGTTGTGACTGCTTAGGGTTCTCCGTCGTTTGGGTCGTTCAATTTCGGGTCTGTTGCTGGTAATGTGAACGTGTGTTTTGTTAGGGCGGTCGGTCTCAATTCGGACTCCGATCAACTCGCAGGTTGCACCTAGGGTTACTGAAAATTTAAACTTTGCTTTCAAGCACTACCTTCGTCATCAAGAGATATAGTCACAGAGTGAGGCACTGCGTCGCCCGATGTCGAATAAACGCTCATGTTCGTTTTCAGGTCATGACCAAGAAACTCAGCGCTACGGAAAAGTTACATCGCAAGCAAGGTCAAGAAGCGGCTGCTGCAGCGAAGCGGGGACTGATTTCAAGCATAGACACCCGTAAGAGTAGTAGTAAGGGCAAGACTGGAACCATTCTCGACCCAGCTAGCGACGACTCCACGGAAAGTAAGCTCACTCCGATTACATTCTGGTCGGCCAAAAAAAACACTGAACACCATATGCAGAGGGAGACCATGGCGACAACCCACCCCGGCCCAAGCCTAAGCGTAGGTGTTCGAGCCTACCGGAAAACCGCCGACTGAACAAACACAGTCGATAAAAAGGGCCAGGAGCCAGTCGCCTCTGGACAACAAGTTGTGGAAGCATCGGTAGGAGTATCGGCCCAAGTGCCATCGAAGCAAGGTGCTATTCTTTCTGGCTTCCGATTCTGACTTACATACGGCCCAGGCAAGAGAGCAGCACCTGAACCCGCTGCCAACGCCAGTAAGAAACGCAAGGTCGAGTCTGCGTCTTCCACTGGCGTCAAGATGCAGGCGGGAATTGTTGTGGCAATGTATGGAGCGATCGGCCAGTTGATGTATTGCTGCCCGCACCTGATGCAAGACTTCGAGGAAGAAGAAGGAGAGGTCAAGACCCCGCCCTTCGTCTTGGAGCTCAAAGCGCGGCAGGTCTACCCCCTGTGGGAGCAGTCCGCACCGGCCGATTCGCCCTACACGAAGGAAGAGCACAATGAGCTGCGGGACAAGCTGATTGGGAAGGGGCGAAATATCATCCAATGGACGCATGTGACAGCTCGTGGGTTTGATTGGGGTCAAGCTCCCGCCTTTGCACACTTCTTGAAACAGGTGGTGGACGGAAAATGGGATTTGACGCACGTGGAAAGGGTGAGTCGTCGTTATTTTCATGAGCGGACCAACATCGACAGATGACAGTTCACCAAACTTGTGAAGCGCTCTTACATAGGCGACCCAACCGAATGCTTCATGTCGGATTCTTTCCAGATGCAAGATGCGGTATACGCGCGGACTCCTCCCGGGGCCCGCTACTACGAGGCGGTCGAGCAAAATATCCTGACTCAGCTCTACGAATCGTCGATCAACCCAAACTGGCGTTCGACTAACGCTCAGCTTGTTTTCAGCATGCTCCTCGAGCCCCAGTTGGGCGCACTGAAGATCCGGCACAGCCGGACTTTGAAGATGGCCCGCACGCTCTGGTCTCAGCTTCAGGAATGGTTCCCTGAGATGCCACAAGGAGATGTTCTGGTAGGAGCAAGCGTTCCATTGGAGTCACGGGGAAAAGCTGTTAAGACGGCGTCAGCATTTCTGTGGGCGTTGGAGTTGATTCCACTGGAGCTCAAGGACCGCAAGGTTCTGAGAGAGGTGAACGTAACGTCCAAACTCGAGTTGGGGATTCACCTGTCCCGACTACTCCGCGAATTCGTGCCCGAACCAAACGACAACACCGTTGCACAGGAGGGATGGGGTCTGAAGATGGAAATCGCGGGGCGGACACTGGGGTACCTGAGCGTTGTGGCTGAGGGCAAGGACAAGGATTTGGCAGAGTCGTTCGACGAAATGCCCAGATTGGCCTGTGAGTGACCCTCTACATCACGATGTCTCTTTCTCGGTCGGTGACCGAAGTCTTTGCCGGACTCGTTTCACATCCCTACCCTTGGAATCGGAACTATCAGGGCGTCTATGTACTGATACCCTTCTTCAGATCTCCGAGGCAGAGCCGGAGCCGCGGCTTATGGGATCGGCCTCAAAGCCATCAAGAGGAACCCGCGCATCTATGTCCCTGTCCGCAGTATGGAAACACTCCATCCGATTAATAAGGGTCTCGAGGTTGAGCTGCCGACCCCCAAGCAGCTGACGATCACCATGCCCTCCCACTCCGTCGACATCCAGACCGGTGATCAGATTCTTGTACCAGCGGGAGCGGCGGGCGCAGAGTTGGGGGCAGTGGTTGAGGGGCAGCAGGTAAGCCTATCTAAACGATCCTGACAGTCGTTGCTGACCACAAAGTCCTACTTCAATTCGCGCAAGGCGGCATCAGTTGCGGAGGCAACCGTGACTGGGGATATCGAGACTCGTGGCTTGAAGGCTTTCTGGAACCGTTGTGACGTGGAGTTTTCCAAAGTCAAGTCGATCGCCCAAATCGTCATGCGGATTCTGGAGAGCGGGGCCGAGTCTATGGTAGGTGATCGGACGTTTGCTCACAAAGTTGTGCGCATGTCTCAGCTCGGCTTTGCCCTTGCCGACCATCAGCAAGCCGTCGAACATAGGGGCATTCCTGCCGACTGTTCATCGATCGCCCAGATATCAGAGCCGGACTCCACCACGAGTCAGGGAGCAGACACGCGTGTGCCCGAGCACGGGGCTGGCTTGCAAGCTATCCCCGGTCATTTGCCAGGGGGAAGCCAAGCACAGCGAGATAATGCAGGAAGCTACCCGCATGAATGGCCGCCGCACAAAGCACTGCGTGAAATAGACCCTCCTCAGCTCGTTCACCCTCGGATCAATGTCAACTCGGGTCATGTCTCTGAGCGGCAGGGCGAGTACGAGGATGGCAGCGACTCCGATGCAATCTGCACCACCCGAACTTCCGAACGGATGGACCTGACGGATATTGAGGGGAACAAGAACTTGGAAGACATCGAAATGTTAGAAGTTACCGACGCCCTGTCTGTCGATGAATCGGGCTCAGACCCGGAGGACACCATGCTGGTCGATGATGTGGGTACAGACCTGCAGCCCAAGCCATTCCAGAACGGAGCTTCGTCAACACAGCCGATGCAATTGAAGTCTTCCTGGTTCAAAGAGCATGCTCGTACTACAGAGTGAAAAGCCTCTGCTGAGCCCACAGATGAGCTGCTGCTTATGTTCAATTCTAAAGTATGGACCAAGAAGAGCAAGATGAGCGAGATAATACGCATGAAAGGTTTCCGCTGTTGGCTGAGTTGCTAGGCTCTTGTTCTCATTTAGCCACACACTGTAAGCCGATTGCATCGACGTGTTTTGTTGTGAATGCGGGTAAATCATTTTCATTAGACTCGAACCAGTCGCTATTCACGCCAGTCAAATAGAGATATCGGCTTAGTGACAATTTGATTCCGATGATTCCGATTTCGAACCCGAGATCCCGGTAGCCAATCAGAGAGTAAAATTACAAATGCAGAGTGTAAACTACGAGCATGGAGCATTGGAGAGCTGTATTAGCACTACAAATTCGTCTTTTCCGATTTCCCTGAATGTAGGTATGACCGCTGTAAGTCGTGTCGTAAAAATGATGATCCATTTTATCGAGGTCATGTTCTTGCGATCTTCTTACTTTGAACCTTCATCATGCCCTACCTGAAATTGCTGCTCAACTCTGATTTTGACCCCAATAAGCCGAAAAGCACACACCTGAGCTTCTCACCTGTACAAGTGAAAAATTTGGGCGATATACTGTCCAAAAATTCATATTCTACAAAAACCAGGTTATCGGTCGTGCGGCGAGAAAAGCAGTCATAAGTTCGTGTAAAGTAAAATCCGGTTATAAGCATATCTGCGAAAAACCAGTCAGAGAAGTAATAGTCACCGTGAATCGGGTTATAATATGGCAGATATACTGTCCTGAAAATAAAACCAGGTTGCAGCGAGTTCGGATTGTGAAAAGTTGTGCTTATAATGCATCTTGATACAAAAAAGTGGTTACTGTACTATGTAAGGCCATGATCTTAGTGTATTGATAGCGAGCACAGCCCGAGACAAGCAGATGATATATTGGACCCATGAACGATGTATAAAAACAGAACCTAATGAATGCGAGTACATGGAGCCCTCTCAAGTCGAGGTGCAAGTTCCGAACAACGAGGCCGAGCTTCCGCCGAGCTGGACGTTCTGGCACGTGTACTGCGTTTTCTTTTTCCCACTGGGCGAGGGCATGAGAGGCGTGATGAGCACAGGGAAGGGTGCGGGACTCACGTCAGGGTGATGTTGTTAACGTTGACGTCGCTGCACCGGGCTCCGGGGGAGCACGAGAGAGTCGCTACAGTCGCGGAGCTGCCGGTTCCGCTGATTCTGTGAAACGGGGTGCAATCAGCATGTGGTCTAGCCCGGGTCACAGAGGATGGCTCACGAGTTGAAGAAGACGTCCTGGATGAACACGTTCGACGGGTTCTTTGTGCACTGGGAGGGCGGTTGGTGGGTCGATCACTTTAATTTATGGGAACTCACGTCAGAAGCGCTGCAGAGGCCCGGGTCAGTGACTCGCTATTTCAGACTTGGAAGCCGATAGCACCCACCTGGTCATGTAGCACTGGTCGATGACGATCGGATGATCGACGTTGCTCTCGATGAAGTTGCTGAAGGTGATGTTCTTGACGATACCGCTTCCGACACCTGCGCCAGCCCAGGCCTTGATTCGTGCTCCATTTTGCGCATTGCTCATGGTGACGGAACTGGAGGCTGAATTGAGTATATACAGCCATTGGATATCGGGACAGACGAACTCGGCGATGACATTCTCCACGATGTCGAACATGCCAGCAAATTGTCCGAGGGAGCCGACAGAGATACCGCTGATGGGACTTCAGTGATAGCACAATCGCAGGTATCTGAACGCCGTACTGAGATCCATTGCAGTTGAGATGGGAGACGATCATGTTTGTCGCATCTTGAACGGATGGTCAGCGCATATTCGTGGATTAGGGGACCGGACGGACTGGGCTTGAACGAAACACAGTCATCTCCGTTGTTGATGAACGAGTTCTTGATTGTCACGGTGTCACTCCGGTAGATATCCCATCCATCGGTGTTCTTCGCGGGATTCTTCGAGGTCGATACGGCGGTGAGGTTGACGTTATTGAAGGTCACGTTCTTTCCCTCGTTGACAAAGTTGAACCATTCCGGGCTGTTGATCATGCGGACGTTTTGGATGATGACGTTTGTCGCTTGGAAAAGGGTCAAGATGATCGGGCGGGCCAGCGAAGAGGACTTGGCGAATCCGTCGTACCAGACCTGCCAGAGTTCAGCCGTTGCAGTGTATGTGTCTCAGACGAGGAAAGGCGCACCTGGCCAGACCCATCGATAACACCTCCGCCATCAATTTGGATGTTCGTCCCGCCGAGGATCCAGAAGGTAATTTGAGTTTGGAAGGTAAACGGGAACCCATGCTGTCATCAAAACATTCACGTGACCACGCGTTCTTCTACGCGGCGTTGGCAAATCTTACCGCTGTCCAGAACGCGACATTCGGGTTGAATTTGATAGTCCCCTGTAGGTTCTGGCGACGGAGATGTGAGGTTGTGCTCGAGGGGGTCATCTGAGGCGGCGTACAAGATGCCTATTGGACAGGCCCGTCATGTTCAAGGGCGACGAGATATTGAGCGTCGTCGAGCTTGGGACAGTTACGAGAGGGCAAGACTGCATCGCACTGAGGAACTGGGGCGAATCGTCTTTGCCAGCCCCAAGCGCCGTGAGCGTGCACGACTGCGAGAGGGCCGACGGGAGCAGAAACAGGAGCGAGATGAGTGAAGAGGAGTGGAAACGCATGGTAGAGTTGCTGTGGCTTGCACTCCAGTCCACCAAACGCGCCCGCATAAAAGGACCCACGCGGGCCGCCCGGTTGTCCAGTTTGGGAGGGAGCCAAACCACATGCCCCCCCTTCGCACCCGTGATTGCTTGACGGAGGTATTCTCGGAATAAAAGATGGGTGTGACAACCAGCACGGAAACTGACGACGACACGCTCACGGTTCCCGAGTCATCGAGCGCGCGGACGAGGGCACGGGACAGTGTCAAGGCCCGGTGCGGTGCCAACGTGTGTTGTGGCCGCAGCCACATATGGCCATCTTCGCTTATTATTAGGGTGGAGAACCATGCTGTCTCAAGACGGAAGGTGGAGAAGATGCTCGTCCGGGGAGCAATCCGCGGTGAAACTTTGTAGGACAGCCTTGTCACACAAACCTACCTGCACAGGGATGCATGGTATTGTGGTCATGGCGGTCAGCAGCAAGCTGGACGCCGACGAGACTGGGCAGGCACAAGCTATTGTGATGCACCGATCCTTTTGATGAGGAATGGGATCACGAAGAGAGACGCTAATCAGGGGCAATACAAATGAGTCGCTGAGTGCAGCCTCCAACAGGCCTGATGAAGCAGAGGAGTGTCTAAGAACGCGAAAGGGGGAGAAGCGACCGGACTCTGTATGCTGAAAGCGCGGACGCAAGTCCGACGTTCCTGCCGACGACTACTCCCAATACTTACTCACTGTCACTGTCAGACGCTGGCATCAATCGAACAATAACTAGATTTCCATTGCTTGGCTTTGTATCCGAGTGACACATCATCTCTACGTAATGACCCCACACCCTTCACTGATTCTCCACTGTCATGAGCTTTCAAGACATCGAATCCGGCCCTGCTCACCCTGCACGCTCGCAGCCGCCCCTCTCTCCCCAGTCGCAAGAGGATGCCGCGTTTCTTGAATTGCAGTCCTCCTTGGGCCTGCAGGTCTTCAAGATGAACGCCAACGTCCAAGCCATCCTGCGGCATGTTGATCAGCTTGGGACGCCCAAGGACTCGTCGGGCATGCGGAAGAATCTGTGCGTGACTCATGATTCGCGCCTGTACACTGTAGCTCTGATACTTGCGCTTCCTTCGCATCCTGCAGACACGAGCTCACAGAGACCACGCGCGCCATGGTGAAGCGTGCGTCTGAGGATCTCAAGAAACTCTCTGTTCTGCAGATCAAGCTGGTGAGTCAGAACCCTCCCCCGTACAGTGAAATTCCTCCCTCTCCTCCACTCACCCATGTACGCACGAACAGCCGCACCAAAAGACAGCCCTCCAGAAAACCTCGCACGATCTCGAAATGTCGCTCGTCGCGTTCCAGCGCGCTCAGCAAGTCAGCGCAGAACGTCAGAGGACCGTAGTTCAGGGTGTCCGGATGGCCGTCGACGACGCAACGTATGTCCCCTCTCCCCACCCAGAACGTAACGACCAACGGCGCCTGACAGCCCGGCGGAACCTGAGACGCCGCAGCAGCGCCAAGCCCTGCTCCTCCAGCAACAGCTCTCACCACACGAACTCGCGTACCAGGAGTCCCTCATCCAAGAACGCGAGGCCGAGATCCGTGAGATTGAGACTGGGATCCACGAGTTGTCGGAGATCTTCCACGACCTCGGCACACTCGTGCAGCAGCAGGGCGGGATGCTTGGTGCGTTGTGCCAGTCTTGTCTCCGCTTGAATTTCCACTGACTACGGCTGCCTGCAGATAACATCGAGTCGAATATCGACTCCGTTTCGATGGACGTGCAGAACGGTGCGGATGAACTACGGACGGCGTCGGACTATCAGCGCAAAGCGGGCCGACGAGCAGCCTGCTTGATGATAATTCTCGTTATTGTCACCGCTGTGGTGCTATTAGCTGTACGTCTCTTATACAAGCTGCTCTACTCGATCTCAACCCCCCCCAGATCTTGTCCTAAGGGGACCGGACTGTACTCATAAATTATGCTTGTATATGTACTTATACTTTGTACACTTTCTCGCGCTCGTTCAGTGCATGTTATGATTATAGAGTTACAATTTTATGTTACTTCTTAGTCCTTGTGAGTCCGTTCAACTACTTCTTGATAGCCAAATCGCGCGCGAAATGGAAGAAGTCCACACTCGAGCCATTCACACCGTACTTGTAGATCTAGCAAACACATCAGTCAGTCCCTACACGACGCAAAGCAGCCGAACGGAACTTACAAAATGGGATGCAACCCAACTGGAGAACAACGCGCGCTGGTACGCCTCCGGGAGACGTTTTAGCACGACTTCCAGCCCAATCTTGTCCACGAGTGTCTTGGGAATCGCGCGCCTCAAAACACCCTCCCGACTGGGTCCGTCGTCGAACAGATCTGACCCTTCCAGTTCAGCCTGGAGGTTGTTCAGGGTCGAGCTCAGCTCGTCCGAGATCGCCGTCCGCGTCTTGGCACCACTCAAGCGCGCGTGCTCGCGCCAGATGCACTGGAACTCGGCGGCTGCATTCTCGGTAATCTTTTGCTGGACATCCTTGACGTAACTTTGGTAGAATGGACTCGGCTGGCCGTTTTTGAAGATCATCAGTTCGACGTATTCGTCCGTAGAGAGCGCCAATCCAGCAAGCACTTCGAGCGATGAACTCGTCACTCCACCTAGTCCCAGACATCATCAGCACTGGCAATGACCAGCAGCTAGTGGCACTGACCCTTGTTGGTGCTCGAATCCTTGAACAAGATGATCTTCCGCTTCTCCAAGAACATCCGGGCTTGCTGAGTGATGAACAGATTCGCGCCTTCGACGATGTACTTGAAGTGCGGCTTGCCCTCCGTGTCGATCAGAGCCGCCATGTTCGAGATGTTGACAGCTTCTGGGCGTCCACCGCAGGGAACAAACAGGTCAGCCTTGAACCGCAGGTGGGCACTGTTGCGGAAATCTGTGCCATCGACGACAAGTTCGCCGGAAGGAAGCCGAATGTCGTGCTCGTCCACCTTGACCAAGTATCCCTCGCTGCTCAGTTTGCTTTTGTCGAAGTTGCCCACCGGAACCCGAAGTTTGGCCAGTCGGATGAGCTCTTCACGATTCAATCCAGCAGGGTCCGCCAAGACACCACTGCCGTCAATCACAGCTACAGTTTTGTCGGAGCTGAGTAGAATCTCATCTGCCCAGAAGCTCAGATGGAAATGCGAGGAAGGAGAGACCTTGACGCACTGGATCCCAGATCACCATCTGGTCCACCGGTCTGCACCTTGCTGATATCCTTCTCCTTCAAACCAAGCTGCTTGTACAGCCCAAGCACAAATTGCCGGATCGACAAAGACGTCATCCCATAACGATCGTGAGGAACTCCGCCCAGCGTCTCTGCGCTCTTGCCGGTAGTGAACGATTTCCACCAAGTCTCCGCTCCACGATCACGTGCGTGGACTTAACTCAAAGATTAGTCCGTCTCCGACGCGATAGCGGACAGCTTACTTGCAGCCCAGTCCATCATGTCTGCTGTTCCCTCTTCGCAAAGAATCAGAAGGACGTTCAGACAGCAGCGCGCGAAAAACCCTACCGTCAGGACCGAAGAAGAGCAGCTCTGGCTTGCCGTACAAGTCGATCAGCGGCTCCTTGATTCCAGGAGAGCGGCCGGGGATGAGCAGATCGATGATCGACTATGAGCGGAGGGTCAGATCGGCGACTCGACCGGACAGTGCTCTCAACAAACTCACATCCACATACTTCTCAAAACAGGCCCGAGGAGCAGCACCGAGGCTGTGAACTCATGAGCCGATGAGCTAGTAAAGAACGCGCAAGCTTCTCACGAAGGCAGAATAGTGCCCTTCGCGCCACCCTCTGGAATGTCCTTGTTTTTGAGCGACTGGGTCGATGCCAGCCCGTAGTTCTCGTCAAAGAGCTGACGCTGATTGATCGAGTAATTTCTGCCGAGAACGGGGTCAGTTGGTTGGAGAACCAGTCGCGCAATTCGCACTCTTTGTTTCGAGACATGACGATTCGGATACCGCCGCGAGCGACATCCCGGAATCGTAGATGGAAACCGCGGAACTCGTTACCTGAACCTTTGTCAAAACACATGCGAGAACCCTATCCTAGATAGACACTCACCGATAACGAAGAACATCCCGAACGGCTTCCTGGGGTACTCTACCTCGGGCAAGAAGTCTGGTGCAAGCCGGAAAGATAGAGCCACTTTGGTGGGTTGATAAAAGTTGGTCTTGAGAACGTGTCTTGGTGAGAGTCAGATCAGCCGAGCAGTAGCGCGTGCATGTGCAGAGCGCAAACACACTTGTTGAACACCAAGAAACTCTCCAAGACCTGTACGTCTTGCTTGTTCTGCACACTTCGGCGGATCTTGTCGACCAGCTCTTCGTCGCTCAGCGGCTGCACAGTCTGCAAGCGCTGATATGAAAGCGTGGGCATGAGATCGTTCAATCCGTCCGCGGCCGAAGTCGGATAATGCGTCATCGCAAAGTTAACGTAGAGAAGCCGGATCTGTGGATGATAAGCATGAGCTCAGCGGCGCGACACGCGAGCTCACCAACTCGGGGTACGCTGCGATAATGTCCGCAATGCTCTCACGCGTGAACGTCTCTTCGCGGAACCGGCGCTTGATGTCGTTCAGTACCTCAGCGTGCGCTGGATCGGACTCGTTCAAGACATTGCGCAGAGAGAGATACGCGGGACCGAGGCGATTGCAAAAGTGCTGTGCGAAGATCCAGCCACAGTCTTAGGGGCCGCCGATGAGCATATGTGCATCCGACGGGAGCTTACACTCACATGCATACGTCGCCTCCTGCACAGCATGGCTTCCCGGGGACTTGGGCAGGAAGAATGGGTTGTCTGGCAGACAGAAGAGCAAACTCGCCTCTTTCACGACCTGGAAGATGGAGTGCTCGATGGGAGGGGCACCGTGGCTGCCAGAGAGGGGGTTAAGATACAGTGAGATGATGGTGACTCCGTTCGAGAACTGCTCCACGTATTTGCGCGCCGAGTAGAGGGAATAGAAGTGGTACAGGTTCGACAGCGCCGAGAAAAAGTGGCGCGTCTTGGATTTGCGCGAGTCGTAGGCGATGACCAGCCGTTGTTGACGAGTACCCTCAACCTGATAGGCGCTGAGGACCGGACCATAGCCACGCGCACGCACAGTGCGCATCGCGTTTCCATAGATCTGGAGTGTGTTCTCGCTGGCTTTCTCGAGGAACACGGGGTCGCTGTAAAGCCGGATGTCGTCTGAGTCCTCGCTTGGCAGAGGAGGGAAATGGCACTTGGTGACGAAGTAGCACCGGAGTTGTTGCGCTGTTTTGGCGCTGACCGATCCGAGCGAGCGGTACGTCTCGAGTCGGTAAGGTGTGTTCGTGTCCAGGAAGAGGTCATCGATCCGGGTCTCGCACGTCGATCCTGGGCCTTCGGTACTCGTCACACCTGGTGGGCTCGTATGGATAAACGTCGCGCCACTCCCATCCTCGGCAACGCGCTCGAGCTCGATGACGAGACTGTTCACGTCGTGCTTCGTGAATGCTTGGATCTTGGCCGCATACAGCGCAATGATGTGGTTTGAGATGACGGCCGGGTTCTCGCTCGCGAAGTAGGTGTCGTCGATGCCGAGTTGGGAGTAGAACCACGAGACCTCTCCTTCGAGCAGCGCGCTGGGGATGAAACCCTTGCTCGCGACTTCTCGTTGGACGAGCTCCTGTTGAGCATTTTTGCCTGCGAACACGGGTGTGGTGTATCCAGGGAGGTCTTGAATCAAGTTGTCCCTCCCCGGGACGTGCAGAGTGGAGGACATGGGCGTAGTGCGCGGAATGAAAGGTGTGACTATACCCCATAATGTCGCGTTTATATGGTGGCCGACGATCATCAATCAGATCAGTCCCTACTACACGGCCACAACGGACCTTGAGTGAAACATATACCACGGCAACCACGGAGCTTCAGCCGTAGGCACATGAGCACCGAAACCTGCGCACTGCCTTTTGACGCGTCCGTTTCCGTGTTTGATTACAAGCAAAGTCATCATGGGACGGTCATTAACCTACGCGTTTGGCCATGAGATCCGACGGCGTGACCATTTTGCCCGACTTTCTGAGCTGCAGGCCTCAGCCGAAATTAGTTCAAGCGGGTCCTCGTTTCCAGCAGCTTTCAGGTGATCAGGAGCCCATGCGGCGATCGCCATTCTGAGGCCAGGCTACCGTCTATTTAGCGCCATTCCGAAGGTGGATTGCATCCGAAGCTGGTTCTTCAGTTTCACTCACCGAACACGATTCCACGAAAGTCGGCTTCGTCGCTTCGAAACTTGGCCGACTCAACGAACTTGCGTTCGAAGACGACCGGTGCCGGCGAATGCGCGCGGGATGCATCGCCACGTTTTTTTTTTACTCCAAGTCTTCTTGATTCCCTCAGCTTCACTTCTCAACATGCCAATAGCCTTGGCCGGGCCATTTCGGCGACATCAGTGGACCATTTGCTGCTGTTTCAGGCGCTCCCCGCAGCTGGACCGCCCCATTGATGTGTACTTTAGGAGAACCGGTGTATGAAACACCTGCTTCTGCCACGGATCTTGGGATGTGAAAAGAGGACCTCTTTTTCCGGCGCGTGTTCGACTACTACTAAGCACAGTCACGCGACCGCGATGAGCTAAGTGCCACACCTAATCTGATTACCCCTGAAGGGGAGCGTGATCCGATAACGATGATCGGAGTCCTTTTGCAGCTCTCCAGACACTAGGCTCTGGTTCTTTCACCGTCGCGGAAGACCGTCACTTTTCCTTCACCATGTCCTTCAGCGGCTTTGCCCTCGACAGGACGGATAGCACATTTGAGGAGATTCCAGTCATGTTAGCCTCCCCGTGACGACACCCAAGAACTCGAGTCTGACCCGTCGCCACCAACAGAGATTTCACCCACGCTCAGAGCCCCGATCCTGCCAAGCGCCGCGCTCTCGCCGACGAGATTCGGGACGCATGCATCAACGGTGACTCCACGCATGCAGCGCACTCCAATCAGTCTATATATAACCCAGCTCCTAGTCGGCTTTTTCTACGTCAAGCACCACCCGATCTCAGATAGCACAATCGACGCGACCATCCAAGCCGGAAAGCAGTTCTTTGCGCTCCCAGAAGCCGACAAGCTTGCGGTAAGCACCCCTCCGCATGTGTGTCCGGGTCGGGAATGAACTCCGCTAGATCGACATTCACAAGAGCGCGAACTTCAAAGGCTACACCGCTCTCCTCGGTGTGTCAGATCCATCCCTTCGGTTCTTTGCTAAAATCGCGACGCGGCTTAGGCGAGAATACTGACCCCAACGGGCGCGGCGACCTTCATGAAGGCTTCGATTTGGGTTGGGAAGAGCCCGGCGCTGGTCCAATGTCGGGAACCAATGTGTGGCCGTCCGAGGACTCTGCTCCTGGCTTCCGGAACTGCGTGCTAAGCTATTAGTGAGCCGACTATTTCCTGTTGAGACTACTGCTTCATCGGGATTGTTGCGCAGTCGCGCTGTGGTCGACCTCGGACAATCATTGTTCCCGCTATTCGCGCTCGCCCTTGATTTGCCTGAAACTTTCTTCGATGATAAGGTCCTTTCTTTTTCTATTGCTTTCTCTGCGTAGTTTTCTAAAATCGAAGGATTACAGACTACTCGCCCTGCTGCAATCATGCGCCTCTTGCACTACCCACCGCAGAAGGCTGCCGTTGACCAGGACGGCAAGATCATCGGGATTGGAGCCCATACAGAGTGCGTCATTGCGCTATTCCAACCTAGAAATCTGTCGTCTGAATTTTAGCCAGCTATGAAGTAAACATTTTATGCTAGGTCCAATGTTCGAAATTAGCTCACCTCGTGTCCAGTGTTTTACGATTCTTTGGCAAGATACCGTCGGCGGATTGCAAGTTCAGAATGCCAAGGGTGACTGGATTGACGCTGTCCCCATCCCTGGAACATTTGTGATTAAGTAGAGCGCTTTCCCCGTCTTTATTTAGTTGATCAACTCATGATTCCACAGTTTAGGCGATCAATTTGCACGATGGACAAGTGCGTAAATGTTCTTTTTTCCTCCGTCCAGTCTAAACGTCGAAACTTTGAAAGATGATATCTTCAAGTCGACTCGCCATCGGGTCACGAATCGGTCTGGACTGGAACGGTACTCGATGCCCCTATTCTTCGGCACGGACTACGATGTACTGCTCGAGGTAAGCTGCCTCTTTCCGCAACAAAATTGTGCTGAATAATTGGCTAGCCTTTGCCCGGATGCGTGACTGAGGATCGACCTGCTCGCTACCCGGTCGTCAGCGCGGGCGAATACGTCAAGCGTAGACTCGAGGAAACCTATGCGCAATCCAAGAGCGACTAGAATCTACGCATGTGTCCCGAAGACAAGTAACACACAACAAAGAGCATCTTCTGTCCGTTATCCTAAGCGAGTTGTGCCGCAGTGTGAGTGTCATTCTGAGCGGGAAGCTGGCTTCGGGCATCTACGGCATCAGATTCGTACACCTCCTATGCAAGTCTACTGTTCTTTTGATCCGTTGTGATTAGCCTTCGACTGGGCGGGGAAGCTCAAAACCCGATCCAACTGGATGGATATACCCAGTATTCCGCCGATCTGGATCGGACCTGGCTCGACTCCGTCTAGTATTTCCTGGAACAAATTCAAGGAACGAATCATTTCGGATTTTACTTATCAATCTTATCAGGGGATGGATAACTATCATGCTATGCTATAGAAATAAGCAAGCCCTCAATCTTCTCCGACCGATCGTGTCAATGAAAATTCAATACTCGGAATGCTGCTTGGATTCTGGAACCTGACAAGTTCAATGTGCTGAATCTTGAACGCAACATGTGACGGATTACGTCATGCACACGAAATGATCCCATCACTGCGATCAGCTCGAAGCGTTTGCGGACGCAGTCCCGCTGGCCGCTGGGTTCTCTTTGTTCTGTTCTTGGCTATTTTGGAAAGCGCCCTGGACTAAGTTTGCGGTTCCGGACCGCCAGGCTAAACGGCGAGGTCGCTAGCATGCGCCCTTTCGAGCCCGTCGAAGACGGTCGACCGAAAAAGTCCATCTCGACGCGACTGCTAGTGAGCATGACCGGTTGGTGTTCACGTATCGCGGACATGCTAAAGGCTAAGGCTGCCTTAGTTAACGGCAGACGCGTTCACGCATGCCCAGCGTCGGCTAACCACACCATCTGATGTCCAGTTCTTATAAAACTGCAGGTGATATGCGGAGCAAGTGAGACACACCGGACTCCTAGATCCACCCCCCTCCCCGTTGCCCGCCCTGGCTCCTGTACCCATCTTCGACTCGTCGACTTGCGCGATGGAAGCACCCTCCCACGGGGCCTTCTATGATGACGCCGGCCCGCCCGACCCTGTGCCCAAACCCGGGGACTCTTTTGCCCCACAGCATCTCTTCGATGTGCATGGACTGGTGGCCGTGATTACAGGAGGGGGCAGCGGTGCGTTGATTGAATTAGCCTTCCCAAAAATCCGCTGTCTGAGGTTCCATGCCAGGTATCGGTCGCATGATGGCTCAAGCTTTAGAGAACAACGGGGCGACGGTATACATCATCGGGCGGCGGCTGGACGTGCTTGATAGCACCGCGCGGGAAATCAGCGTAAGCACGACATCCTCCCGGCCTCATCGCCCGTGGCGCTGATAACCCCTCTCAGAAATACGACCGAGTAATCCCCATCCAAGGCGATGTGACAGATCGCCGCTCACTTCTGGACATCGTCGAGACGGTCAAGATTCGACACGGGTATATCGATCTTCTCGTCAACAATGCCGGTGAGTGGTTATCTGTTCTTATCACAACCGGAAATTGATGCCGGGCAGGCATCGCACGCAATCTGTACGATCATCCATTGCCCTCCCCTGGAGAGAGCTCTCCGCAATCCTCCTCCTCCTCCTTTCCTGGGACTCCAGTCGACGGGGCTCCATGTATACGATCCTTCCAGGAATCTTTGTGGAACAGTGGGTCGCCAGAGGTCGTTCTAGGTTTCCCAAACAGGTAGCACGGTCACTGAGCTCCCGAGCAGGGCTTTGCCGAAAGCTTCCGCACGAACGTCACTTCGGTGTACTATTCCACCGTTGCGTTCCTAGATCTCCTCCACCAAGGGAATCTGCGGAAGAACAATCCGAATCTCCATGTTCTTGGCGGCCGCGCCCGTCCGCCACTCCACTCTTCACAAGTCGTGTCCGTGTCGTCCTCCGGCGGCTTCCGCCTGGACTCGAAGGTGTTCTCCATGTCATACACCCTCGCGAAGGCAGCCTGCACACACCTCGGCAAACAGCTGGCCAATCTGCTGGCTCCATGGGGGATCCGCAGCAATGTTCTCGCGCCGGGCGTGTTCCCGAGCGGTGAGTGGGAGTTTTGTGGCGCCTGTCCTGTTATGCTGAGGCTTTCTGGATCAGAAATGACGACAGGATTGTTTCCTGGGCTCGACATGGGTCCCATGGCGTTCATCGACAGCGTCCCCCTGAAACGTGCCGGAACGGAGAAGGTGCGTCCAGTGGCGCATGATCCGAGAGAGTCTCCTCAGCAACGGCGTAGGAAATGGGTGGCGTCATCTTGTTTTTGGCAAGTCCTGCAGGAGCTTACGTGAACGGCGCAGTCTGGCTGGTCGATGGCGGCCGAATCGGCGGCGTCCCCAGCAGCTACTAACGGTGTCATTATCTGATTATATCTATGGCTGGCTGTATTCTATCACGTGTAGGCATTAGTATTGTACAGAGAGAGATCGAGGAAACGGAATGATTGATTAATATTCTGTACAGGTGAAGGTCCAGGCCTGGTCGTTCTGTTCTGCGAGAGAAGATGAGAAGCAGCCAGCTGAGTATAGGATAGACCTCACAGGGAAGCTTCCGATATGATAGAGGGTGATCCATGACCTGTGTCGTCACAGGAGGGCGACTAAATGGAGGGACGGGACTGCGCCTATCTGATGCAGGCATTACTGCTCGGAATCGAGCCAATTGAAGTTCAATTTCTTTTTCTGTCACACCAGTCAGTCCGGTGACCTGGAGAAGGTTGTAACACGCACTATCCGCATAGTCTCTTGGCGCTCGCACGATTGCATAGGCTGCAAAACGAAACTTGCAGATTTTGTCTGACATTAGGAATCAATACCAGTCAATTTCACTGGCCAGTCCCACGCACACACCTTTGGCGATCCTCTTGTTCACTGCGCCGTCTTTCCCCGGCACCAATACAATCCAGGACCCAACATCGACGTCTTGGTCCTTGCCGGGATCGAGCTTCGGAAGCCAACGCTTCCTGCAGTACGTCCAGAGCGCAGCCGAGATCACGTCTTCGACTGTCGCAGTTAATTCGACAGACAGGCACATTATCTGATTCGATGGCTGCGCTGTGTGCGGAAAATAAACGGAGACTGGGAGGGAATCGGTCGGAGGGGGTTTCGGCGGTCGAGGGAACGGATTTGCGCATGGGGACGAAGACGCGAACATGGGCGTGAGGGCCGACGAGTGAGGGCGGGCTGCAGACTCGATCCTGCGGTGCGTAAAGTCGAGCGCGGAATGCGCGACCTCGTGCGCCATCCCGTCGGGAGACCGGGGCTGCTCGAGCACTGTTTCGTGGGCAATGGCGGCGTAGAGTGGGTTCTCGGGAACGTCGCAGACGAAGCGGACTGGTGGTAAGTGATTCTGCGTCTGGTTGGGACTGGGCTGAGAGGTGGTGGTTGTGGCGGCCCTCCGCAGCCTTGACCGGTGGTGAACTACGGGGGCAACCCACTCCGTGTCCTCGCGTAGAGTCGCAGCTGAGGGAGACCAGGTGCTTGCCACCGGCAACAGCGAGCTCGTCCTTGGTTGCATGTCATGATGTGGCCCAAAACGAGCCCAGGCAAGACTCACCTGGAGCCCACCCCTTCCCAGGGGCGTCTATGCCTGTGTCCGTGGCCTTCCATAGACACAGCAGAGTAAGCGACGGCGGATAAGTAAGAATCAGGGCAGGAGGCGGCTCTTTACTTAAAAGGGCGCAATTAGTACGGCATCACGACACAGGGCAATGTGCAATGTTCTCGTGATCCATTGTTCATCTTCATCTGTTTGAGTGGCATGCTGCACCCGCCTTCCAACGGTTTCATGAGAATGGCTTCAACGGGGGGAAGCCTTGGACATTGGTCAGCCATAGAGATGTCGTCAAGGACAAAGTCAGGATGTTGACAGTGCGTGCTGACACCGCTTTCAACCCGTTACCCCGATCACACATAACAAACACCTGACGTGACTGAGCGCGCTCCCACCTCAGCCTGTTGCTCCTACCGGTCTTGTCCGGAGTTCAGCAGTGTCCTTAGCTTCTTGAAACCAACCAGACCCATCTTCGAGAACCAATGGGCACTTGGTAGCTGGTACCGAAGATAATGTTTAACGTGCTGAGGGCCTTTTCCAGGCGACTATAGAAATTACCTGCCATGCCTTCTTGCCACTCCAAAGGCCTTCCGACGCTGGAATAGGAGCACCAGTACTGGTGCTCAGTTCTCTTTCGCTCGATCGATTGGATCAATCCGTCCCTGGTACCCATCTGAATGTTTGTGACATTGCGATCGCTACAATGCCCGAGCAGCCGAGCCCCATCGCCTTTTCCCGCTAGCCATGCCCGGCTGAGATGCATGTTCTGAATGTATACGATATCTGCCACCGCCATCAAGTGTCATCATCTCGCTACTGTCTGCATAAAGCGCGGGCGGAGTACTCCGTTCGCTCGAGTCTCCGCCGCAACTATGCCCTCGTCACTCTTGATTACTGGATTCGGCGTCAAATACCCGCCGAATTTGTCGCTCACGGAAGACCTGGATAAACTGGCGTACAAGTGGTATCCAGCATCCCCCGCGTGGGTCTATCTCTTTCTGTTTTCCTTTCCCATGGGATGACGAACTGCGGGTCTAGATTGGATAAGGTCCTCTCAATCAACCGTCGCACCGGAATCAAATCGCATTCCCTCATCTACCCTCTTCTCGATCTACCCTACCCCCCATCCATCAAGGAAGTATCCGAGATCTTCAATCGGGAAGGCATTCCGCTGTCCAAAGCCGCCGCCCAAGCCGCGCTCACTGAAGCAGGTCTGACACCCGCCGAGGTCACGCATGTCGTCGCTACGACATGCACGGACGTGTCCAACCCCGGCTTTGACTCGCGACTCGCGCAGGAGCTCGGGCTCCGCCCTAGCATCGAGCGCGTGCTGCTGAGCGGCGTCGGATGCGCCGGCGGTCTTGCGGCCCTGCGGCTTGCGGCGAGTCTGTGTCAGTCAGCCGCGTGGAGAGGGGAACCAGCGCACGTCTTGGTTGTGGCCTGCGAGATCACGAGCACGATGCGGCGCGACGAGCTGGAGCTGATCGCCAAGGAGCAACAGGTGCGTATCGGGATCACGCTCTTCGGCGACGGGGCCGCTGCGTTGGTGCTTTCGGTTGCCCCGACCGTCACTGGACGGGGAATATATGAGCTTGTCAACTGGGCCCACCTTACGGTGCCCGACACGCAGTCTGATCTGAGGATAGACGTTGACACTTCTGGTGCGCGCCGCAATCTCTGATGACCCATCTCAAAAGCAACTGAGTGTGATTACGACAGGTTTCAAACCAACACTCTCTCCGCGCATTCCCACCCTGACCGGCAAATGCGTGCCTTTGCTGTACGACGCGTTGTTCAGCACACTGCCCGCCGCATCGACAGCTCTGACGACGCTGCCTCCACCTTCCGACAGCCGAACACGCGAATTCGATTGGGCAGTCCATCCGGGAGGAGCGGCCATTCTCAAGGCCGTCCAAGACACGATGGTCGTCGATCGAGAACATTTGAAGGCGAGCTGGGACGTCTACGAGAACCACGGGAACACAAGCTCGGTCACGGTTCTCAGTGTGCTCGATGTTTTGAGACGGGGAGAAGGCCGTGAATGGGTCGTCAGCATGGCTTTTGGTCCCGGCGTCACGGCCGAGGGTGCTCTCCTACGACGTTTATCTACATCATAAATCTAATCAGTCGTGAATAATACTCGGTCATGTGTACGAAATGATCATCATGCTTGGTCACGATCTACGTTGATTCGGTCCTCATTCTTATGGCCGCGCCAGCTTCGGAGACACTACATGCCATATCGGCAGACTCTCGGTCACCGTCAATACTACCACACCGAGGTGCCCTCCGATAAGGTCTCTCGCACCTAGGGCTTATTTCCGCACGCGAAGCGTGTCCCCGATGTTCTGTGGTCTTTGATTTCAGTCCTGCATAGTCATCCGGGCATGACTTATCACGGGCCGATATATCTCCCCGCCTTTCCAAGAGAAGATGCGTCCGGTCTCCGTGTGAGGACTAGGTCCGAGTGACCAGTGGAGCCCTTGAAAAGTACCGTCTCCCGTACCCTGCCACAGCCCTCTCATGGCTCCCACGCCCAACCACCGCATCCTCTACGTGAAAGTTCCCGGGCACGGCCTGCCCGTCGAAGGAGAGCACCTCGTCTACGACACGGACGCGGTCATCGATCTCGATGCGCCACTCAACGGCGGATATCTGACGAAGACGCTGCTCCTGAGGTTCGCATGCCTGCCCGATCACGATGCCCTTCTCCCCGTCTGAGTCGATGCAGCCCGGAACCGTATATGCGAGAGCGGCTCCGCGATCCCGCCGTGCAACTGTACTCGCCCCCGATGGTGCTCGGACAACCGTCAGTGCCGTCCTCCCTGGCCAGTGTATGCCTAATGCTTGAGCCTACCTTCCAGTATGGTCGGAAACGCTGTGGTCGTGGTGCTGCGCTCCGAGATGGAGGGTGTGAATGCCGGCGATTACATGGCTGGATTGTCGACCTGGGAGATGTACACTGTGCAACCGTACACCGGCGGCAAGTCGACTGCATCTCAAGCTCGCAAGCGGCTGGCTGAATCGCGAGGGTAGCACGCGTCAACTTCGCAGAGGGCTCCTTCCCGCCGTACACCCTGAACATGGAGATTCTGATGCCGTTGCGGACCGTGCCGGATCCTCAAGGGGCGTTTCCGTGGACCTGCTTCCTCACCTCGCTGGGCCTTCCGGGATACACAGCATTCGAGGGCATCGAGAAGTATCTGAAGCCAAAAGAGGTGCGGCGGTCGCCAGGTTCTAAAACGAGTGCCCACTGACTTGGAGCAGGGATCGGCGATATACGTCTCATCGGGAGCGTCCGCGGTAGGAACCATGGTCATCCAGCTGTGCAAGAGGAGAGGGTGAGCGTCCTTTTCTGAGCACACTCGGCTGGAACTCAATTCGCGCACGCGCAGGCTTCGTGTGATCGCCTCTGCGGGAAGCGACCAGAAGGTCGACCATCTCCTCGCGCTCGGTGCCGACGTCGCGTTCAACTACAAGACGCGCTCGGTGGCATCGGCGCTGGAGGAATATGGCCCACTCGACTATTATTGGGATAACGTGGGCGGCGAGCAGCTCGAGGCGGCCATCGGGAACATGCAGCACAGAGGGCGCATTATGGTGCGTTGCGAACGGCGATCAGCACCGTGGTGGTCTGATTTCTGAATCGCTGCAGATTTGCGGAGCGATGAGTGAATACAACGTACCGTTCGAGCAGCGATATGGAGTCAAGGTACTTTACCTCATCCATCCTGTTTTGTGATGGTCAGGTTTGACGCACCTACGATGCGCAGAATCTCAGCATGGTCTTCAAGCGCCGGATTACGATCGAAGGCTTTGTCTGCAACGAAGTCCCCGACGCAGAATTTTACGGCCGTTTCATCCAAGAGATCCCGCCGATCCTGGCTGAGAAGAAGCTGCAGAGTGAAGAGGATCTGGTTATTGGAATGGAGAATGGAATCAAGGCGTTCCTGAGTCTATTCGATGGAACTGCAAATGCCAAGGTGGTCGTCGTGGTTGACCCCGAGTATGCATGAATGAAATATAACTTGGTGTACCGTATCTGTGTGTATTTGATAAGGAGCATACAGTAACCCATACATCAATAAACCAGATTTGTATGTTCGGGGTAATTCAACACAGTGCTCCCCGCCGATGGGATCTGGTGTCACTCGGGGTGGAAGCGAGCCGCACAGGGGCGTCACTGAACTACTGCCTTCCCGATAAGGAAGATATACAGCCACAGTATGATGGACATGTTCAAGTTGAGATTGAGTTTCTATTGTTTTGAAACCGACCGCATATGCTTAGAAAGCCGCATGTATGTCCAAGCCTACTAACTCAATCTAGAAGATAATCCAAACCCCTGGAGACAAGCCACCCAATGCGCCTTTCATTTCGGGCCGGAAGGTTCAACTTCGCGATCCTTCGACTGGAATCGATTCGTCTAAAAACTAAGAGGATATAGGGCGCCGTGAAGCTAGAAGCTTTGGAATTTTGAAGGCCGACTGGCACAAGCTGCCAGATGACGATCGAGATTAGTTTCGACTTTTGATGGCTCGCTTCGAACTAACTTCGAGCCAGCTGGATGATTTGGAGATCTTGAGTCAGATATCACGATCAGACTCTTTAGGCTGCCCCAAGATAACAAATTCGAGGCGACCTCTTTTCTTTGTTTTGCAGATGCAAGAGGCTAGCAAAATCTGAACTCCAAGCTCGAAGAATATTGGACAAGAGCTTGAGAAACCTTGCATCGACAGTTTCATATTATCCACACCTTCAAGCTCGATATTTCCGCCAGGGTTCTCGCATAGTATCCACGTGGGATTTCCTTCCAGTGTTCTTATTATAAATTGCCCAGAATTCAATTGTTTTTCGTCCATAGTCTCTACGCAACAAAGTCGAACACAAAGGCGTCCTCTAACAAGGGTAGGACCCGAGTCTGCGAACCACATATTCAGTCTCTTGCAAAAGCCGTGGGCATGGGTCAACGCTCGGTACTTACCTTGAATGCTTCATGCACCAGATCCGATTTGTCGTAGTAATTGAAGTCTTCCATGCTGTTGAATACCATAACGAACGCGAACTGGACGCAGCGCAGCGCATTGATCAGCCGAGCGGACGGGGGAAAGGAGGGACTGGGCAGCCGATACGCACGTGGTTTCCCTTGTCGTAACCTTCGGCAGACACATTCGGCCCGCCCACCACACTGTGGATGTACGGCTTGCTCTCCGGCGCGGCGGAGAGGCATCGCGTGGCAAGCGCAAGCTGGCTCTCGTAGATTTCCTGGCGCTGAGCTTCTGTCACGGTGGATTTGAATTTGAAGGAGACGACGTGGGTGAGGGCCATCGGGGTAAGAGTTGGAGTGGGGAGTAAAGCCGGGCTGTGAGAGGTGGAGTTTGTAATGCCAGGTACTGTCGAGCAAGGGCTTTAAGCCCTGCTTAAGACCCCAGAATAGACCGCCAGTTGAGTCATTCATATTGTGTGTTCCCTAGGACAGTCATAATGCTTACACTTTTCAGATCGATGGTCACCGACATAGCGTCAGCCCACTTCAGGACGACGATGACGAGACCGCACACTCATAGCGTCTCTTCCTATATGTTCTGTGCGCTGCTCGTTGTATCGTTAAACCGACAATCAGGGCTGGGGTCTCAAGTAAGTCGCATATGCCGTGAGCAGGCCGCCTCCGCTTCTTCTTCTCATTCCCGCGATGACTCACCAGTCTCGTCATATATTTCACAACTAAACTGCCGTCCAGAGTGCTTCTTCCGCCCAGAAGACAATGCAATAGGATCAGGCGACTGGTATCGACCGGGAGCTCGAGCAATCTGTGATGGAGGGCTGTGCTAATCGTCGGTCTTCCCCGACCTGATGTGGCGGCACGTCATAGATGATCGACTTTGACACGTGATCCCGCCTCACAACTGTACTGCTCTTCCAGCTCTCTTCGCCACAATCATGGATCACCATCACCACGACGCGAATTGCGGACACGAAAGCACGGAGCATGATCATGACCACGACCACGACTCCTCAGAATCGGGCCCCAAAGATAACCTGTTCTCGCAGATCGAGCGCGCCAACGTCGTCGCGCTGAACGCCACCGGCCCCGGCTCCGCCGTCATCAAACCGTGGCACGAGCGACTAGACGAGGAAAAGGTTGTTGTCTCCGTCCCCGAGTCAGCCTCGAGACGCCCGCTTCTCATGCGCCCCAGTCGATCTCATCCGATGCCGACGACCAGATGTCAGACCCTTTCGCCCTCCCGTCGTGGCCAAGGTTCTAATAGCGCTGGGCTGCAGCATCGTTCGCATCCCGTTCACAGACTCGGTCAAACTGCGCGCCCTCCTGCTGAAGACGGGCCCGGCGGACGAGACGCCGACGAAAGTCCTCCTGGTGCGCCGCGTCCTCGAGTGATCGATGCTCGTGCGACGCTCTTCTCCACAGTTTGCCAACGACGCGAATCTGGACTTTGACGACCTGGACGACAAGACGCCTACGCAGGAGTGCCTCGTCGCGCAGGGCCGCGAAGTGGGAGAATACGCGCTGCGGTAAGTGGTCGGGCGGCGGGGTGCCCCAAGCCCACACACTCATGCCTGTCGCATACCCCTGATTGCTCACCCAACGCGTCCAGGACCGCCAAGTTTTCTAACCTCTCATCGATCTCGCTTCTGTTCCCGGCCTCCCAAGGAGCAGATGCGACGCGCATATACTACATCGGCTTTCTGGGACAATGGACTGAGGTGCGTCGTGAGGAATCCTGACAGATTCCTTGGCGCGGGTCACTGACCAGGTGCGGCCGCAGCGTAAACGACAGGCGGTGGTGACGGTGTACGAAGCCCAAGCCAATCTCGCGGACCACGAAAAGATCCAGGGGATGGATGGGGGGCTCAGCTCGCGCCCGGTTTGATCATGTCATGTTATGCAATTGTATGTTATGTATGTCTAGTGTACATTGATGTAGTATGCTGCTCGAGATAAAAACAAGACCTGATCATTATCACTGCATGAAGCTCATGTCGAAAGCTGGGTTCCGGTTAACATTAACATTCCCATAGCCGGGCTGTTGCTGCTGCTGCTGCTGCTGTTGTTGGCCCATCGCCAGACCCATTCCAGCGGACTGGGCCAGCTGCTGCTGCGTCATGGACTGCTGCTGTTGCTGCTGTTGGCCCACTGCCAGGAGCTGGTTCTGGCCCATATTCTGCATCGCAAACTGATTGGGGTTGAACGCATTCTCGCCTTGCGGTGGCTGGCGCTGACCCATCTGTCCGCCGTTCTGTGCCGCAGCAGCCGCCGCTGCGGCTTTCCGACGCTGTTCGGCGCCGAGAGCGACGTACCGGGTGATGAACCCGCCCCGCTGCTGGGCCGGCAACGACGCTACTTGGATCGCAAAAGCAGCGGAGATGGCCACTCCCCGCGCCGACAGCATTTGCTGGATCTGCAGTGCAATCTGCTGTGTCTGCGGAGACGCTGCCGCTGCCGCCGCTGCTGCTGCAGACGTCGCGAGACCGTTCGTGGCGGGTGGAAGGCCCGGGGGCGGTGGCACAGGCACGACATGGCCCGACACTGTTTTTGGCATCTCGGGAATCCCGGTCAGAGGGAAAAACAGTCCAGCCAGCCCAATCTGGTGCGAGGGGAAGAAAAGCGCGTTGGGCGTCTCTTTGCCGTTGCTGTTTGGGAGCGCCCATGAGGCGACGAAAAACTGGGTGGGATGGGGGGAAAGAGATTAGCGCGGACACGTGCGCAAAAACCCGGCTGACTGACTGTTTGTTGTTTCAAGAGGATAGCGACGAGTGCTTTATATCCCAAGTCGTTTTGAGCCGGTTGTGAAGCTCGCGGATTGGGTGCAAATGTGACGATCACGGGGTTATATCGTTTCATCCACATTTGTAGTTCGGGCACACTGACGGCAGACTCTGTCATGCTGAGCTTCAGCGTTTGGGGCCATGTTGTGGCGTGACTAGAGTATTATGGACTGAGCCATTGATGTGCAGACACAAAACATGGTCTACGCACCAAGTGTCCCGATTCCCACTCTTGGCCACGACATATAACGAGATCTCACGAGGAACACCGGCTGCATTGGGTCCGCTCCATGTCATTAGGCCTTGCCAGACCGGTACATGTTGCGGTGGGGGCGGCGGCGGCTGTGACGGGTTAGGGCCCGCAGGACCCGGCTGCATGCCAGTCTGCTGCGCTCGGTCTTTCTGCTCCATCAATTTCTGCATCTGTTGCGTTAGGTTCGTGGGGCCAGGCGCGTTGCCCATCATGGTCGCCGCCCCTGCGTTCATCGGCGGCATGTTCCGCCCATTGCTCGCAGAGCGCATGTGGCCGGACATCGCCGACATGGCTGCCGCCGGCGACGCGTTCTTGGCGTCGGGCCCGAGCATCTGAAAGTCGCCCCCCTCCTCCGCTGCCATCGGCTGCTGCGGATTCATAGGCGGGGCCGGCGCGGCGGGTCCATTCGGTGGCATAGAGCGCGCAACTTGCAACCGATTCTGGTTCATGTTATGCACAATCTTCTGCATAAGTTGCTGCAACGACTTCTTTTTCTCCGCAACCTGGGCCATGATCTCCTCCGCCGCGGCACGGTCGCCCCTGGCCAAGGCTTCGCTCGCCGACAGTTCCATGGTCCGGATTTGTTGCTCGCATGTGCGTATGAATGTCTGCAGCTGCTGCAATCGCTGTGGTGATAACGGTGGCAATCCCGGTACCCCGGACTGCATGAGCGGCGCACCCGGTCCCAATCCGGCCGGCCCTTGAGCTGCGGCGCCCACTGGCACCGCTGGAGGCCCAACCGGCGCATTCATCCGTAGAGCTGTGGGTGGCGCTGTCATCGGCACTGGGACCGGCGATGCGTTGATGTTCTTCGGTGGCGACACTTGTGGAACTGGGGGATTGGCTTTAGGACGTTTCGTTTCGGGCATGGAAGCAGGCTCAGCGGCGGCGCGTTTGATGCCTGTGACTTGTTCAAGTTAGGCATAGGATGCATCCTAGGTTTATCAACACACCCTTGGGAACGGATGCTTGCATAGCCGGATATCCCGACAATAGAACCGTGTGACCCGTGCGCACAGGAAACCATGGTTGCACAGGGGACTCGGCAGCAGTCTGATAGAAATGAGCTCATGTGTTAGGCGGTAGGCATCGAAACTTGCAGTGTGCAGCTCCCCAAACTTGTCGAATCCCTTCTTAAGACAGATGGAGCTGAATTTGATGTGGCGCTGGTAACAATGAGACGCTTGCACAACCTTTGAGGTCGGCCGTACCTTCTTTAGTTCGCTAGGCAGAGTACCCCAGGTGAGGCTGTCCAACTCAGGAGACCGATTTCGTTGTGGATGCGTGGAATGATCGGGTTTGACCGCGGCGACGTGAAATATATGATGAGCAGCTGAGTTTTGAGATTGGCGCGCATAATCGTCGAAGAGCTAGGACACCGCGCGCGTGCGAGGTCAGAATCTGAGCGGCTCCGGAGCTGGGCGAGGCACACCTCGATCGCAGCGACGAGACCATCCAATGCAGCGAGCCCGTTCCCTCCACCTGACGAACTCCCCCCGAGGTTCATCTTCGATACGTCACCCAGGGTCGTCGAGAGCGCTCTGAAATCCTCGAAGAAACGCTGGTTGAGATCGTCCTCCTGTGTGCCGTACGAGATGAAGGCGACTCGAAACTTGCAAGGCAAGACGAGCGTCAGCGGTTTCGACATCTGCGGGGTACCGGGCTAAGCACCTTGCATTTGGGGCTTGCTTCGCCGATCCGCCGCAACATGTTGAAGATGTACCCAGACAAGATGAACGGCCATTCCGACGCGAGCACATGCGAGGAGTCGACCACTAGTGCGACCGCGACGTCCAGCGACATGAGGCCCTCCCGTACTTCGAGGCGTATTGAGTGGGAAACGTAAAGCGTGAAAGGTACAAGGGGATCGGTGGCGATGCTACAAGTCAAGCGGTGTTTGCGGGGTCCAAATAACGCGCCCGCTTCTATCCCATCTTTCAATTACTTACCACTCGCGCGAACGTTTGAGACCTTGACTGCTGGCCCACGATGACGAAGGCCTACCTCATGACGAGTCTCATTGAGAAGGTTGGTGACGATGCTCTTTCCGCAATCGCAGCTGTGTTGAACTCGACTGGTGGGCGTAGATGCAGTCGCCTGACCAAGATTTTCGGTACGTGTGCCCTGCTCGCTTCTACGAGAAGCCATTTTAATCTAGTCTGCCCAGATTCATGGGGCTGAACGATCTGATGAATGAGATCAAGCAAGATCCGACCGCTTTCCTTGGAGATGAGGCTACGGAGAACAAAGTGCTGAATCAGGTTCTTGCTCTCGTAGAGGACAAGATATCCGAAGTCAAGAACCAAGCAGTGAAGTGGTATGTGTCTCTGACCGCTTGTCGCGCGAGTGGCTCATGCTGTGTCATCAGTTTAGGACAATTGATCAAGATTATACGTCAAGGGCAAATGGAGCTCGTAGTCGACAAGCTCATCGACTTCTCTGGTGGTCAGGACGACGAGCTACGGGATATCTCGGGTCTCGGTAAGCTTCTCCGATAACGGCGTCACTCCTGCGTATGACGCCTCTTATGGGCGCTCAGCACTGAAGACTATCACCGCGGAAATACCCGTCGACGGCAAGATCGCCGCCAGCGCCTGCGCAAAATTGACGCCCAAACTCCTGGGTCAGATCGCCAACGTTTGTGGGCGGTATCTGTTCTCCGCATCTTGCACTCATGGCATGATTCTACCAGGCGAACACCCCGCCCGAAGCGCTCGTAGAGACGCTAGCCATTCTCTCTATCCTCATATCGCGTTTCCCAGCCCACCTCTCGAGCGCGACATTATCGCCGCAACCCTTGGTCGTGCTCGCACCACTATTATCACATGCGCGGCCCGTCGTGCGCAAGCGCGCCATCGTCACATTGGCGCAATTCATACCCATATCACAACCGCAGTTATTTTCTGATCTGATTGCCACCCATGTCTTCCCATTCCTTGCGCCGAATGCCAATCTCGAGAAGCAGCGTACAACCGTGACGCTCATAGCTGCTGTTGCGCGCTCGGCGCCTACACAGCTAGCACCTGTGCTGGGAGATATTGTGCCCGGTCTACTCAAGACCTTACAGAGGGATGATGACGAGCTGCGCGAGGGTGCCTTACAGGTGTTTAATTATGATTTCTTGCTCGTTCCGCCGCTTACTATGTCAGGCGCTCGAAGCACTGATTCTACGGTGTCCATCAGAAACGACGGCCTGGGTCACATCTATCATCCAGGGCGGAGTGCAATACATCAAGCACGACCCCGTCTGTCTCATTCATTGGATACACTTGCTTTTTGCTGAACTCGCTCTAGAATTACGCTGCCGATGAGGATGAGGACGAGGAGATGGCTGACGCTGATGACGACGAGGACGAAGATGCGGATGATATGGACGAGTAAGTGTGTCTTGGAGAACCAGTCCCATCTTGGTAATTCTGTTCAGATACTCGGACGACGAAGACACCTCCTACAAGATTCGACGGGCGGCCACCAAACTGCTTGCTGCCATTATCGGCACGCGACCCGAGCTCTTGCCGGCTTTGTTTAAGGAGGTTTCGCCGGTACTCATCTCTCGATTCGGTGATCGTGAAGAAACCGTTCGGTTGGAGGTCTGGGCGACGTATGTTGTGCTCTTGAATCAGACGGCGCATTACGGGGGTCTTCCCCAGGCTGGCAAAGAGGATTCGTCTTTGAAACGGAAGCGCAATCAGGACACGATGGATGTCGAGGAGGGCCCTTACTCGCTGTTGAGAGCACAAGTGCCGGATATGGCGAAGGCACTGCTATCTCAGCTCAAATCTGCCAAGACACCCCCTGCCACTCTCCAGGCCGGATTTTCGCTGCTTCATGCGCTGTTGGATGTACTTCCGGGTTCGCTTTCAAGTCAGGTCCCAGCGATCATTGCGACTTCCAAGAGCATCTTGTCCCAGCCGCCGTCAACATCAACGTCCACGCTGCATCTGTCGTGCCTGTCTTTCTTGGCTCTATTTTTCGCCACACACTCTCCACCCACGTTTGCGACGACTCTGCCGACGATTACGCCTGGTTTGCTTCGAAGTCTGGGTGAGAGACACCCTCGCGTTGCCTCCGAGACCTTCCGGGTGTTCTCTGCATTGCTGAATGCCGTGAAGCCCATCAAGCCGGGCCAGGACTGGCCTGAAGCTGTCTACGACCAGGCTGTCACACGGCTGACTGCGCACGACACAGATACGGAAGTGCGTGCGTGTGCTGAAGTCGTGATCGGAGACCTGTGGGTCTGTGCGACGGACGTTGTCAAAGGCCGAGGCCACCGTGAATGGGAAGCTATCTGTCGACCAGGTGCCAAGTCAGATGGTGCCGTCAAGGTCGTCACCCGTGTTGCGAAGGAGGTCCCTTCAGCCATGGGAGATCAGTGGGTTAACGGATGCGTTGATTGGGCCATCGGTCTGCTCAAACGCGGTGGACGAGCTGGAAAGGCCGAAATCTTCCAGAGTCTCGATGTCCTCCTGCGCAGTTACTCGTCTGGAATTCCATCCGGTCTGCCCTCTATCCTGGTTCCCCAGATCAAGAACTATCTGAAGACGAGCGACATCCCTCTACTTTCTCAAGCCTTTTCTCTTCTGGCTCTACTTCTCGAGCTCGCTCCTCAATCTACTTTCCCGGAAGTCGAGGCTGATTTGTTGACGGATGTCTATGCTATTGCACACTCCCCCCTAGTTTCTGGCGTGACGCTCGACTCGATGCTCGGATTCTTCTCTGCATTAGTACAAGCTGACAACCAGATTGCGACGCATCTTGTACCGAACCTTGTCATCGCAGTCGAGAAGGCCAACAAGACCGATTCTAGCGCGAACAATGTTGCGAAGTCCATCGCTCAGATCGTGCAAAGCCAGCAATCGATTGCTGCAGGGACAATCGCCCAGTACGCGAAGAACATCAAGGTCCGCGCTGTCAGTATCACTCTACGATCGGTTTGCTCAAAAGTCACAGGCATCGTCCAAGGCCAAAGCCTCAACCATGGTCCTTAGCTTGCTCATCCTTGGAGAACTGGGGCGATTCATGTCAGTGCCGAATCGCTTTTGTATAGGTTGGCATATTCGATGCTGAATCACAATCTCCAGTGACATGTCCAACCAACAAGAGATTTTCAGGGACTCGATCGAAAGGTTTTCTGCTGAGCAGGAGGAGATCAGATCGGCTGCCGCCTTCGCTGCCGGCAACATCGCGATTGGAAATTTGCAGCAGTTCCTCCCTGCCATTGTCAACATCGTCAAGACGGACCCGAAGAAACGGTTGCTTGCGTTGCATGCGTTGAAAGAGGTCGTAACCCACTGTTCCCATGGGCAGCTCGAAGGCGCAGCGGACATGCTCTGGGTCCCGTTGTTCGAGAACTCGGAGAACTCTGAGGAGACAACGAGGAACGTCGCTGCGGCATGTCTTGGTAAGTTGGCCACGACACACCCGGCAAGGTATCTTCCCCAATTACATGTTTGTGCTTTCATTGTTTCCGCGGACAACAGTGATTTGATGATGTGCCCCAGGCTCGTGTGTCGGACCCAGATGCTTCAGCCCGGGCCACTGTCGTCTCTGCCATCCGATATACCTTTGCAGATTCTTCGGCCTCCTATGACGAACTCATCGCCCCGATTCTGGTTGACTTTTTGGGATTGATGCTCGATCAGGACCTGGTATGCTGTGTCAACATTTTTGTATGTCCGACTGAGTGTATTGTCACAGACCGTTCGCCGGCTGGCTCTGTCTACACTCAATTCTGCTGCACGAACCAAACCCCACCTCATTCGGGAGCATCTGCCGACTCTGTTGCCTGGACTCTATCAGGAAACCGTCATCAAACCTGATCTCATCCGCACGGTCCAGATGGGACCGTGGACCCACAAAGTGGACGATGGGTTGGATGCGCGTAAGACAGCTTACGAGACGATGTACACCCTGGTGCGTTCGTCGTTGCATAGCCAAGTCGGTGACCAACGTTGCTGCAGCTTGATACATGCTTGTCCAAGCTCGAGCTGCCCACGTTCCTCGGACGCGTGCTCCCTGGGTTGGCTGATGCTTCGGATGAGATCAAGGTCATCTGCCACATGATGCTTTTCCGGCTCTCGCAGGTCGCACCAGCCGCCGTGGCCCAGAAACTGGAGGAAGCGACCCCAGAACTGGAGAAGACGATGAAGGGAGCAACAGTTACCAAGGACACCGTAAAACAAGACCTCGAGCGTGCTGCTGAACTCCAACGTAGCGCTCTGCGTGCTGTTGCTGCTCTCAGCAAGATCGGTGCAGGTGTTTCGCCTCGCTTCGATCTCTTCGTAGAGGATCTCAAGAAGAACGCTCAATGGGGCAATGAGTTCAGGGAACTTGCCGCTCAAACTTGAAAGCGATACGATTTGTATCATTGCAACAAAAATATGTAACAAATAGTACATACATACTACTCTGGCAATCAAGACATGCTAACAGGTGTGAATTTTAGTTCGTTATCACGTGCCATCACTCCTTGCTTGACCCCGTTCTACAACCCCACACGCGCAGACTGTAGGAAAGAGACGCGTCTTTACTCCAGACACGCGACAATATGTCCGAATCACAGCTGAAAGATCAGGTCCTCGCCGAATTCCCCGATTTTTCGACAGAGGACGCGCTCCTCAAAGAATGTACGCGGGCTTTGTGCGCGGGCTAGCTTCACCGCACGCTGACATAGGACTCGCAGGCATGGCAGTATGCAAGAACTACGGTATATCTCCAGAAGACCTCAGATTCAAGTGGGAGGCCCAGAACTTCCGGCCGTCCACCACGCGCTCGGCCATCTCATCGTACACGCTCGAATCCCTCCTCACGCTGAGATCCACAATTCAAAGCGAACGCACTGCCCGGGTGCCCGTGGCGAGGCCGACACCCCAGATCGTGCGGCGCGGCACGGGGCGGATGCTGATGAATCGCGCGCCGGTGGTCAAGACGGAGGCGGTGGAGGCCTCCTTTGCGGGGCCGAGCAGGGTGCGGTTTGAGGGAGACGCGGATACGCCGGAGGCCAAGAAGCAACGCGCGTGTGCGTAACTGATTGCCTGGCTGCGGGTACTCCCCTCCTGCGCGTGCTGACGCGCCCCAGATCGTTACATGCACATGAAACTCGCCGAACGCGGTGACGGTGCGTGAACACTTCGCCTGCTCTGCTTACCCGAACCTGACACGTTCGAAAGCCCTGGACGCGACGATCGACGAGTTCGCGGAGCGTGTCCGGGATCATTTCGATATCAGCGAATTGGGTGACCCGTCGGCCTCGACCAGTGTATGATCCCGCGCCGTTTCCTCTCGCTTCCCACTCACGCTGACTATCTTCTTCAAGGATGAGATCACAGTGGTTGGGCGGATCGTGCACGACGACGAGCTTGTGGAGGACACGTCCAAGCTCGCGGACAACGCGGTGGCGTTGCAGTGCTCCCATGCGCTGGGGTACGGGAAGCGAGTACCGCTGCGCTTCGACTGGGATCTCAAGATCCGCGGAGGAGCACAGGGCAGCGGGAGTGCGTCGCTGTTTCCCGGCGCCTTCGCATGCCTGCGGGGCAAGAACGGTGGAGGCGGGTACTTTCAGGTCTCGGAGATCCTTCTCGTGCGTTTCACCGTGCCTGCCTCGATACTCAAGGTTCTGACTTTTTATTGAAGCTGCCCTGTCCACCACCTACCGATGATCCTGTGAAGCTGGAAAACCCGTTCTCGGTTCTGATTGCCAGCGGACCGTACACCAGTGACCAGGATCTTGGGTTCAGGCCATGGCGCGGGCCCATGTTGAAAAAGATCCAAGAGACCAAACCCGACGTGGTGATCCTGGTGCGTGGGCTGTCCCCTTTTCAGGGTGCCTCCTTCGTGACGTTCTCTCAGCTGGGTCCCTTCATAGACGCCATGCACCCTCTGATTCAATCGGGGGACTCCGACAGCACGCCACTGAATCTGTTCCGGACCCGATTTGCGGATCCGCTGAGGGCGTACCTGGACTCCGTCCCTGGGAGCATGGCCGTCGTTGTGCCTAGCGTGCGAGATCTGATCAGCAGCCACGCGGTCTATCCCCAGTGCGAGCTGGACGCGGGAACGGCCCGGAACGATACGGTGATTGAGTTTCCGCCGACCGGGGATGCATCGCCCTCGCTCATGCTCACGACTAGCGGATACACCTTGTGTCAAACCCGGCGTGGTTCTCGCTCGACGGCGTGTCGTTCGCGGCGACCAGCGAAGATGTACTCTTCCACATCAAGAAGGGCGAGTTCGTGAAACGCGGCGGCGAAGTGGACTCGGTGCCGCCGATCTTGCCGGAAGACTTGGGCACGGACTCCATGGGAAATCTGTCCCGCCAGATTCTCCAGCAGCGGTCGTAAGTCGTGCTCCAGATCGGAGCGTCGCACGTGTCTGACCTGTCGCGTGCAAAGGTTCTACCCCGTTTTCCCTGTGCCGCAAGAACTGTCGGAGGAGATCACGCTGGACATCACGCATGCTGATGGTCTGAAGCTGCGCCCTTGGAACGAGGGGCCTGAGCATTCACCGGATGTGCTCATTGTCCCCAGCCGATTGCGGCAGTTCGCCAAGGTGAGGAGAAGGCGCTCGACTGAGTTTGGATGGAGCTGACTGGGTTTGTCCAGCCTGTGCATGGGACCATGGCGCTGAATCCGTCCTTCGTGAGCAAGGGCACGTTCGCCGTGCTGGATATTTCGCCTTCGCCAGAGGGACGACCGCGACTCGACCCGCGACTGGAGAAGCTGTCGTAGTCCTACCAAGCAGTAGTCAGCGGTGTATGTTTCTATATAGACGTCCTCGTTGTCGTTATCTTCTATTCTGCGATTAAGCTCTGGATCAGCAGCAAAGATACAAAAAATCCGGTGAATGGTAGTACAGTAGCAATAATAATTACGATTAATACACAGATCAGCATGTGGGAGGCTACAAGAACCCGCTCTCTTGCAACAGCCGAGCCATTTTCTCGTCTTCCCGCTCACGTGGTTCGCGCTCCAGACTAATCGCCCAGAACCGCTCACTCGACTCCTTCGTATCGCTGACCGCATTGAGCGACTCCTCGATGTACGCCTGGATCGACGGGATCACGTGGAAATTGAACGGCACCTGCCACCGCTTGATGTCGTTGATCACCTCCGACGCCTTTTGTCGCTTGCGGAAGTTGACCAGTGTCGTCGGCGGCGCGTTTTCCGGTCCGGCTGGCCCCGGGACGTTGTCCGGGTTTCCGTCCTGTATGAACTGCAGCGTGGTCAAGAAGACACCTGGGTAGAACACGTGAGCACTCGGTAGAGAGTCCGCACAGACAGGGCAAGACGCACCGATGAATGGCACGCAGGGCGGAATGACGTGGGTCATCACAGACCGGTACTTGGTGAAGTTTTTTCCGCTGTCTATTGTCATCTCACAAGCCCCGAATTGGGACATGTATCGTTGGTTCACTTGTTCCCACGTTCTTTTGAGCCGTCGGATCGGAGGCGCATTCAGCCCGGCGGTAATGGCAGCCATCGTCGAAAAGTTGTTCAGAGCTCGGCATCGCTGTTCATTCAATTAGTCAGAGTTAACAGCCGGCGAGAGCCGGAATGAACGCACGTCGGCAACACTGATCAAATGTTTCACTGCATTTGCTCTGCGACGAGAATCTTCCTTGCTGAGAACCGATTCGGCTACCCAGAGAGCGATCTGCGAGCCAACTAAGTTGACATTCAGCAAATAAAACACCGCCACAGCGCACCTTGTTGCTTGTTTGGATGACGGTGGTGATGTTGTCCATGTTGTCCTCGGTCCGCTGTTCTCGGGCACGCTGCAGACATTCCATGGGTCGGATCCGCTGGTACAGCTGGCTTTCCATGATAGTCAGCTGCCGGGCAAGCTCCAGAGGCTCGATATCGAGTAGCTTCAGTTTCTTGCTTGTCTTGGGCACCAGTGGCGGTGGCGGGGTGCCCTGGGGTGCTGTAACCATCCGCATCTTGCTGTCGCCACCCTTCTGCTGCACAAGTCCATCAGCCTCAGAAACCAAAACACAAGTCCAGATGGGTCTCAACTCGTTCGATGTTGTTCAACAGCTGTTTAGCCGCAGGGAACTTGGCGAGCTCATCCGAAGACAGGAAATCCTTCATCCTGTCCAAAATGAACAGATCATCCTTGTCCAGAACGTCATCGTCTATGACCATCGACTTGAAAATGTTCAGAACTCTAGCGAACAGTTCGTTCAGTCGGCGAGGGAAAGCGATGGGGACAAAAAACGCACCGGATTTGGATCACATGCTGTTTCAATTTCCCCCATTCTTCGCGCTCACCCGGCGTCAGATTTGCAGGAGGCTGGATGCGGAAGCGCTGCACGAGGAGGTCAAAGAGCTCGTCGACAGTAGTGAATGATTTGAAGGTCATCAAGAACGATTTGATAAACGTCGGATCTAATGAGATCGATCAGCGAGATATGGGCGCCGGTGGCTGATGAACGCACCGGCTTGCTCGTGGGCTGTCAAACGCTCAACGAGAGCAGATATGGTGCCCGCACGGACAGCACCATCTTGATCGATGCTGATGTCTGTTGGGCTATATGACGCCTGCAGATACCATGGACGAGGAGGGCGCTCTTCAGGTTCAGGCGTTGGCGGTTGCGGTGGTCCTGCCCGGAGGAAGTCGGGACCAAGCATTTGTGTGAGCTTGTTCTTCCCTGACCGCGGCGGAGATTTGGCTTTGGCTTCGACTGGAGTGCACGTGAGTGAGCTGGCGTGACGGGCACGAAATCTGCAGACACTTACATTCGTCGTCGTAGTTGGGGCTTCCGTCCAGTAAATCGTCGTCATCCGGCCCGATGGTCGAATCCATCGACTGGTCATAGTCCCGGCTGCCGTTGAGCGTCGAAGTCGCGTTCGACTGAGGCCGCAGAGAATCATAGGAGGGGTTCGTCACATGGTTCTTGACAGGAGGGCGCGCGAGTGCTGCTGCTAGATCGACCAGATCGCCATGCACTTCAGGATCGAAGGCTGACAAGGGACGCATAGCACCTCCCAGCTGCGTATCAATAACACTCAGCCGCGACATGCGCCAATCAATCGAGCCGTTGTAGTCTCCTTGAGCAATGTCGGCTTGCTCGTGCCCGATCGAGAGCAGACCCTCGAATGTCCGGTTGGCGGCTTCCATGTTCGCCTTGGCCGCAGTGCCGAGTGCCAGCAGAAGCTCAAATTTGCGTCCAGAGTCTGCGGCGATACGCCGGGATCCAGCTGTCTCAAACCCAACGTTGTGACGAGGATCGATGCCGAGTCGTCGTACAGGGATTGCAGCGCGTGTTCCAGTGTCCGGATCAGCGATCTCGCCCGTTCCACAGTCTGCATGTACATTTCATTCGGTCCAGTGGAACCTGTGTCCTGCCGGATACCGTCGATGTCCACATGTCGTGCGACGTGAATGTCGGCCGCAAATTGGAGCCAAGAGGACATGCGGGCGACGAAGAGTCGCGTCTGTTCTCGAATGACATCCACTGCAGATGCTCAGTAAGCATCACCCAGCACACAGGGCTGAAACGCAGTCACTTACCGCAGTCGTCCCCCGCGGCTTGTACAACCTGCTCGAGACTGACGAAAGACCGATTGAGCTCTTGGGCCCTGGCAGCAAGCTCGCTAACCACATCCATGGTCAGGGTCTCTTTGGGCGCGTCTTTCTCATCGAGGGAGACCCAACCCATGCCTTTCCAGCTCGCTGCAGCGCCGGCGCCCAGAAGTCCGAGCCCGATGTTAGCGGTCATGAACACTGCTTCGAGGCGCTTCGGCGGCTTGAGATCAGTGCGCGAGTGCTCCAGTCGTTGGACTTCCAGCACGAACGACAGAACGGCTCGCTCCAGCTCTCGGCATCGACCTGGATGCGATCAAGCGTATCCGCAGCAGTCGAACCCGCGTCAT